CTATGCAGATTGTAGACCTGCATACCCCAGTAGATCCTGATAAATCGCTTAATCAAGTCGTGCTTTCAGTTCTCTTTGATGTTTTTAATAAATTGATAAGTGGAAATGTCTGATAAAGAATCTCATTAATCTTACTAATTGGCACGAAATGTCTAAATTGACAGTGAGTATTATGTGAAAAGTATAATTATAAGTTGACTCAATTTGTGCGATCGTGTGCATTTTATTTCATGATAAGTGTGATTTAGAGAATTTAACTATGCCCGCCCAAATATTTTTCATATTGCGCGCGCACTTGTCCTTTCCCGGACGCAACCTTTATTGATTGATTAAGTGCGCCATGCACTTGCACATGCGCTATGCAGATCGTAGAATCCCCAGTAAACCGTAGTAAATCGCTGGATCAAGTCGTGTTTTCAGTTTTCTTTGATGTTTTCAATAAATTGATAAGTGGAAATGTCTGATAAGGCATCTTACTAATCTTACTAATTTGCACGAAATGTTTAAATTGACCGTGAGTATCGTGTGTAAAGTATAATTATAATTTGACTCAATTTTTGCAATCGCGTGCATTTTTTTCCGTCAGATCAAAAAGAAAACATTGAGTCTATTTCTTAGATAGTGTGATTCAAAGAATTTACTTATGCCCGCCCAAATATTTTTCATATTGCGCGCGCACTTGTCCTTTCCCGGACGCAACCTTTATTGATTAAGTGCGCCATGCACTTGCACATGCGCTATGCAGATCGTAAGTTCGTCAGTAAACCGTGATAAATCGCTGGATTAAGTCGTGTTTTCAGTTTTCTTTGACGTTTTTAATAAATTAATAAGTGGAAATGTCTGATAAGGCATCTTACTAGTCTTATTAATTGGCACGAAAATTCTAAATTCACCGTGAGTATTGTGTGAAAAGTATAAAAATTTTGACTCAATTTTTGCGATTGCATGATTTTTTTTTATCCAATTAAAAAGAAAAAGTTTTGATTATTTCTCAGATAATTGTGATTTAAAGAATTTAATCGCTGGATCAAGTCGTGTTTTCAGTTTTCTTTGACGTTTTCAATAAATTGATAAGTGGAGATGTCTGATAAGGCATCTCACTAATCTTACTAATTGGCACGAAATTTCTAAATTAAACGTGAGTATCGTGTGTAAAGTATAATTATAATTTGACTCGATTTTTGCAATCGCGTGCATTTTTTTCCGTCAGATCAAAAGGAACAAATTGAGAATATTTCTTAGATAGTGTGATTCAAAGAATTTACTTATTCCCGCCCAAATATTTATCATTTTTCGCGCGCACTTGTCCTTTCCCGGACGCAACCTTTATTGATTAAGTGCGCCATGCACTTGCACATGCGCTATGCAGATCGTAAGTTCGCCAGTAAACCGTGATAAATCGCTGGATCAAGTCGTGTTTTTAGTTCTTTTTGACGTTTTTAATAAATTGATAAGTGGAAATGTCTGATAAGGCATCTCACTAATTGGCACGAAATTTCTAAATTGACCGTGAGTATCGTGTGTAAAGTATACTAATTTGACTCAATTTTTGCGATCGTCTGCGTTTTTTTTCATCAGATGAAAACAAAAAAATTGTGACTATTTCTTAGATAAGTGTGATTTAAAGAATTAAATCATCCCCGCCCAAATATTTTTCATATTGTGCGCGCACTTGTCCTTTCCCGGATGTAATCTTTATTGATTGATTAAGTGCGCCATGCACTTGCACATGCGCTATGCAGATCGTAGGCTCCCCAGTAAACCGTGGTAAATCGCTGGATCAAGTCGTGTTTTCAGTTTTCTTTGACGTTTTCAATAAATTGATAAGTGGAAATGTCTGATAAGGCATCTTACTAATCTTACTAATTTGCACGAAATTTCTAAATTGAACGTGAGTATCGTGTGTAAAGTATAATTATAATTTGACTCAATTTTTCCAATCGCGTGCATTTTTTTTATCAGATTTAAACGAAAAGTTTTGATTATTTCTCAGATAATTGTGATTTAAAGAACTTAATTATGCCCGCCCAAATATTTTTTCATGTTGCGCGCGCACTTGTCCTTTCCGGGACGCAACCTTTATTGATTAAGTGTAACATGCACTTGCACATGCGCTATGCAGATCGTAGAATCCCCAGTAAACCGTAGTAAATCGCTGGATCAAGTCGTGTTTTCAGTTTTCTTTGATGTTTTCAATAAATTGATAAGTGGAAATGTCTGATAAGGCATCTTACTAATCTTACTAATTTGCACGAAATGTTTAAATTGACCGTGAGTATCGTGTGTAAAGTATAATTATAATTTGACTCAATTTTTGCATCGCGTGCATTTTTTCCGTCAGATCAAAACGAGAAAATTGAGACAATTTTTTAGATAAGTGTGATTCAAAGAATTTACTTATGCCCGCCCAAATATTTTTCATATTGCGCGCGCACTTGTCCTTTCCCGGACGCAACCTTTATTGATTAAGTGCGCCATGCACTTGCACATGCGCTATGCAGATCGTAAGTTCGTCAGTAAACCGTGATAAATCGCTGGATTAAGTCGTGTTTTCAGTTTTCTTTGACGTTTTTAATAAATTAATAAGTGGAAATGTCTGATAAGGCATCTTACTAGTCTTATTAATTGGCACGAAAATTCTAAATTCACCGTGAGTATTGTGTGAAAAGTATAAAAATTTTGACTCAATTTTTGCGATTGCATGATTTTTTTTTATCCAATTAAAAAGAAAAAGTTTTGATTATTTCTCAGATAATTGTGATTTAAAGAATTTAATCGCTGGATCAAGTCGTGTTTTCAGTTTTCTTTGACGTTTTCAATAAATTGATAAGTGGAGATGTCTGATAAGGCATCTCACTAATCTTACTAATTGGCACGAAATTTCTAAATTAAACGTGAGTATCGTGTGTAAAGTATAATTATAATTTGACTCGATTTTTGCAATCGCGTGCATTTTTTTCCGTCAGATCAAAAGGAACAAATTGAGAATATTTCTTAGATAGTGTGATTCAAAGAATTTACTTATTCCCGCCCAAATATTTATCATTTTTCGCGCGCACTTGTCCTTTCCCGGACGCAACCTTTATTGATTAAGTGCGCCATGCACTTGCACATGCGCTATGCAGATCGTAAGTTCGCCAGTAAACCGTGATAAATCGCTGGATCAAGTCGTGTTTTTAGTTCTTTTTGACGTTTTTAATAAATTGATAAGTGGAAATGTCTGATAAGGCATCTCACTAATTGGCACGAAATTTCTAAATTGACCGTGAGTATCGTGTGTAAAGTATACTAATTTGACTCAATTTTTGCGATCGTCTGCGTTTTTTTTCATCAGATGAAAACAAAAAAATTGTGACTATTTCTTAGATAAGTGTGATTTAAAGAATTAAATCATCCCCGCCCAAATATTTTTCATATTGTGCGCGCACTTGTCCTTTCCCGGATGTAATCTTTATTGATTGATTAAGTGCGCCATGCACTTGCACATGCGCTATGCAGATCGTAGGCTCCCCAGTAAACCGTGGTAAATCGCTGGATCAAGTCGTGTTTTCAGTTTTCTTTGACGTTTTCAATAAATTGATAAGTGGAAATGTCTGATAAGGCATCTTACTAATCTTACTAATTTGCACGAAATTTCTAAATTGAACGTGAGTATCGTGTGTAAAGTATAATTATAATTTGACTCAATTTTTCCAATCGCGTGCATTTTTTTTATCAGATTAAAACGAAAAGTTTTGATTATTTCTCAGATAATTGTGATTTAAAGAACTTAATTATGCCCGCCCAAATATTTTTTCATGTTGCGCGCGCACTTGTCCTTTCCGGGACGCAACCTTTATTGATTAAGTGTAACATGCACTTGCACATGCGCTATGCAGATCGTAAGTTCGTCAGTAAACCGTGATAAATCGCTGGATCAAGTCGTGTTTTCAGTTTTCTTTGAAGTTTTTAATAAATTGATAAGTGGAAAGTCTGATAAGGCATCTCACTAATCTTACTTATTGGCACGAAATTTCTAAATTGACCGTGAGTATCGTGTGTAAAGTATAATTATAATTTGACTCAATTTTTGCGATTGCATGATTTTTTTTTATCAAATTAAAAATAAAAAGTTGTGATTATTTCTTAGATAATTGTGATTTAAAGAATTTAATTATGCCCACCCAATTTTTTTCATATTGCGCGCGCACATGTCCTTTCCCGGACGCAACCTTTATTGATTGATTAAGTGCGCCATGCACTTGCACATGCGCTATGCAGATCGTAGGCTCCCCAGTAAACCGTGGTAAATCGCTGGATCAAGTCGTGATTTCAGTTTTCTTTGACGTTTTCAATAAATTGATAAGTGGAAATGTCTGATAAGGCATCTCACTAATCTTACTAATTGGCACGAAATTTCTAAATTGAACGTGAGTATTGTGTGTAAAGTATAAAAATTTGACTCAATTTTAGCGATGGCATGCATTTTTTTTATCAGATTAAAACGAAAAAGTTGTGATTATTTCTCAGATAATTGTGATTTAAAGAATTTAATTATGCCCGCCCAAATATTTTTTCATATTGCGCGCGCACTTGTCCTTTCCGGGACGCAACCTTTATTGATTAAGTGCGCCATGCACTTGCACATGCGCTATGCAGATCGTAAGTTCGTCAGTAAACCGTGATAAATCGCTGGATCAAGTCGTGTTTTCAGTTATCTTTGACTTTTTAAATAATTAATAAGTGGAAATGTCTGATAAGGCATCTCACTAGTCTTATTAATTGGCACGAAAATTCTAAGTTCACCGTGAGTATTGTGTGTAAAATATAAAAATTTGTTTTAATTTTTGCGATTGCATGCATTTTTTTATCACATTAAAACGAAAAAGTTGTGATTATTTCTCAGATAATTGTGATTTAAAGAATTTAATTGTGCCCGCCCAAATATTTTTCATATTGCGCGCGCACTTGTCCTTTCCCGGACGCAACCTTTATTGATTAAGTGCGCCATGCACTTGCACATGCGCTATGCAGATCGTAAGTTCGTCAGTAAACCGTGATAAATCGCTGGATCAAGTCGTGTTTTCAGTTTTCTTTGAAGTTTTTAATAAATTGATAAGTGGAAAGTCTGATAAGGCATCTCACTAATCTTACTAATTGGCACGAAATTTCTAAATTGACCGTGAGTATCGTGTGTAAAGTATAATTATAATTTGACTCAATTTTTGCGATCGCGTGCATTTTTTTCCGTCAGATCAAAACGAAAAATTGAGACTTTCTCAGATTATTGTTATTTAAAGAATTTAATTATGCCCGCCCAAATATTTTTCATATTGCGCGCGCACTTGTCCTTTCCCGGTCGCAACCTTTATTGATTAAGTGCGCTATGCACATGCGCTATGCAGATTGTAAGCTCCCTAGTAGACCGTGATAAATCGCTGAAGCAAGTCGTATTTTCTTTTCCTTGATGTTTATTAAATTGATTAGTGAATATATCTTTTAACGAATTTTTACCGAATATCACTTCATGACTCACTATCCTGTGAGTATTTCTTTTTATGATTTTTTAGTCTAAGTCTGAAATCTACCACCCGCCTATGTAAACATTTCACAATGCGCGCGCACTTTATCTCATCCGTGTGCAACCTTTGTTGATCGATTATGTTCACGGCGCACCTGGACATGTGCCATGCCGATTATAACCTCCCTAGTAGACCGTAATAAATTGCTGGATCTACTCGTGTTTTCAGTTCTCTTTGACGTTTTTAATAAATTTATAAGTGGAAATATCTGATAAAGAATCACACTAATGTCAATGAGTATTGTGTGTAAAGTTTAATTATAATTTAACTCAGTTTTCGCGATCGAGTGCATTTTATTTCATCAGATCAAACAAAAGAACGTGACTATTTCTCAAATAATTTTAATTAAAGAATTTAATCTTGCTCGCCCAAGTAAATATTTTTTCATATTGCGCGCGCACTTGTCCTATCCCGAACGCCATCCTTATTGATTGATTAAGTGCGCCATGCACACGCGCTATGTAGATTGTAAACTCCCTAGTAGACCGTGATAAATCGCTGAAGCAAGTATCTTCTGTTTTATCCATCTTGTGATGTTTATTAAATCGATTAGTGAATATATCTTTTAACGAATATCACTTCATGTCTCACTATCCTGACTTTGGTTTTGTTGGATATTTTTAATTGATTAGAATAAACAATCTTGATTATTATTAAATGTTCTTATGATTACTTTAGATATATTATAATTAGACTAGACAAGTTTAAACATCACCTCGATTGTTATTAATTTTTAATTGGATCTTTACTTAACTATTTCTATTGATCGATTATCTGCTAGACTAATTGATAGATTCTCACTGTTTTGCACAAATTGTCTTCTTATTTCTCTTTAATCATCATCATCAATCTCATACATACTCGTATATAATTACGTTTATTGGCGAGACTAATTAGGGTCGGTCCGTTTAATATTTTGATACGTTTAAGATCCTTATCATTAATTTTCAGTACCTACACTGTTTTTAATATCATGTATGAATGCGATTCTTAGGCGAATCTTAAGCGAAGCCGGGGTAGATAACTTGTGTAAAATTGAATGGTTCATTTAAGTATAACTAAATTATATTAAGATTTGCGTAAACTGTTTGCATGAGTATTTAAATTAATTATAATAATTATTGTTCTAGATTCGTTGAAACGTTCGTGGACGAAGTGGCTGCTTGGACGAATAACGCATACGGTGCTTTAAACATACCAACCAGCCGAGTCGTGTATGTGCATGGGTCAATAGATCCGTGGCACGCCCTCGGAATGACAACAACCGAAAATAATGATTCTCCAGCTATATTCATAAAGGGTCGGTATAACTTAAACCTATGTAATTTTAGTATTTCCTTTTTTATTCTGAAAGTGTAAATTATAATGCATAAAATTTGTATTATCAGAAAAAAAAACTTTAGATGCTTTTGTTTGCTCTAATATACGTAGAGCCAAAACGTTTGAATGTTTTCACTGGCTGGTAGAATATTCGGTCAAAAGTAACACTCTTTAAACTTAGAAGAGGAAAATAATACTGGAACTAAGTTAGATATAATATTTAAAAATATTTCCTTTATATTAAGTTGAACAGTATTAGTAATTATACCATTTATCGTCATCGTAGGTACAGCTCACTGTGCTAATATGTATCCAGCAAGCGATGACGACATCGCTAATCTGATAGAGGCTCGGTTGGAAGTGCAACAGTACTTGGACGCTTGGATCGACCTCCCCTGACCCTACGGCCGCAAGAGCCTCTGAAAGAGGCACCACGGCATGTGGAAACGACGAAAACGTATCAAATAAAGGCAACTCTCTAAACGTTATCTTCGCGACTTGATTCAGCGGTTTACGGTCTATTCTTTATTTATTACTAATTATTAGTTAATATATAAGTTTTAAATTTACTTGAAATTTCTCAAATTATAAATAAGTGCGCATTTAATATTATGTTTCGTCATGTGTATACGAAAGTCGTTTTGAGTGCCCTGCATTTCAGTGTCCTGATGCACTCCGGCGCGGTACTATGTTCACTTTAGACAACTGAAAGTTTATGTTTATTGAAAATTCTTTCGTTATTTACTGTCGCGAAGAAGTTTGCCTCTCGAGGAATTTGAGAACTTAAAATCTTCACGTGAGATTTCTAGATCGAACAGATCGGTCTAGAAGAGATTGCCGAAGGGGAACGACGGTGGCTGTTTTACGGACGAGTATTGAGTCAACTAGGAAAGAAAGGGAGTATAGGTAAAATATATAAAAAATTAAAATTTAGAGAAATATCTAATAGTGGTAGAGCTAAACATCGTAACGGAGACTTGATGTTCCGCGCTAGAGTGCACCGCAATTATTATCTATTAAGTCTTATTTCTTCAGAATTCTATATTTTGGTCTAACATAATATGTTTTGTTCAACTTTTAATAAATGTATAGTTTGCTCATACGACAATTATATACGATGACGACACACTTTGGTAATGTGGAATATGATAGGTAAAATCATTAAACATGCTAAAGACAAGTAACGAGAAGACAATTTGCAAAGCGACTGTAATGTAACATTACCAAATATGATTAATATAGATGCGCACTTATAACGAATAGTAGGTACATAGTAGTCATTATGATCGTTGTCTACGTTAGGCGTGTGATAATGGACGATGCTGGTTTAATGTTTTTTTGTTTGTGGAATGGTTTGTGTAAAGCCAAGATTGCATACGAGCAACGATCTTAGGTTATAGTCGCTTTCGTTTTCTCACACGAAAGCGTCGTAGTAAAGCAGACCTAAGCATTCATTTGGATACAAATTTACATTAAAAAAAAAGAAACGTCAACACCACATTCGGTACCGGTTTTCACTACTTTGAACACAATAGTTATAAACTTTCTACGATACTTTTGTCCTGTGAAAGCGCTTCTTGCCATAGTAACCCTGTTGAAAAACTCCAATAGAATTTCACCAAAAGCGACAAAAGCTACATAGGAACCAATAAATTGGTTTTTAAGTGACTTTTGTCGCTCTTCATGGGATCTTATCGGAGATTTTAAATAGGGAAGTAAAGTTTTAGGACGGATTCGCTCTTCGAGAAGGTACCTATCTATATTGTGAAGGCTTCCGATGGTTTTATCCTCAGAGAGGAGAGAAAGGCAAACAAACAAATTCGTGATCGTAAAATATCTGTCGGATTTATTTTTATTTTGGAAGTGAATTAGCGAGCTCTGAAAGATGTTCAAGATTACAAAACTGCGTTAACCTGTTCGTTATAAATTTTATAATTTAAACTCGGACTTGACTAATATAGAGGATGCGTCAATAATAGCTCTTTAGCTTGTAAAGTTACGCATTCTCAGTTCCCCCGCCCTTCCCTAAATCACCATTGATATTACATAAAATACAGATAGATTCACTGCAACTAACGCGATATATATGCCTTATTATATTATTAGTATTTAATACAAAGAATCCACTAAACCCAATGGATTTCGTGCAATAGCTTAGATGACTATATTCCTGTTGAGTGGAAGATTGCTAACAACGGATTGGGAAAATAATAAGTATATATTCATAATGATTGCAAATGCAGGACAGTTGTTTAATCTATTGCATTGAAGTTTGGGGTAAGCAATAAAAAATGAGATGATCACAATTTTCGCTGCGATTTTTACATATTTCTATTTGGGTGTTGTATATGTATATATATATATTTTTGGATGTTTGTTCATGACCCATGGCAGCCGCAACGATTTCACATAGTTCATGGGCAAATTAATTACAATTGCGAAATATTTAAAATTTATATTCTTTATATATACATTAATGAGAAAGGAGGTAACAATCAAGGAGAGTAAGACATATTTGTACACTTCCACCAATGCATTCCCATGGAGCTCAATCAGAGAAGCTGGTCAACATCACGGTCAGAGATCGGACTAACATCGGCCTCGAACTCTCCGCCGGAGTAAAGAACGATGCGAAACTCATAACCTCTATAAAGCAATAAGATTTTGGTGTGTTATGTTCATTTATTTCAACAAGTTTTATATTTCATTTATCGATTTGGATGTTGTTACCGCAACCAAGAAAAACTACCTCATAGTGCTTCATGATGTCCCAAGGTTACCTCGATGGCTCTCACACACACACCTTGCTTCGACCATCTAGAGCGGCTCTGGAGGCTATCTTTGGATCTCACGCGAGAGCACTCGTAAATGATCGCATCGCAACACGTCATGTCAATACAGCGGTCACCACACACACGCTCGTAACATCTCGATGGTGGTACTAAACACTTGTGTGATAAATCGATACTCGATAATAGGTATTGGCAATTCGTACTAAAGCAATAATATTTTCAGCGGATATTTATATTTAATTCTCGATTGGAACATGGCGCTGGGTTGCAGTAAAGCTTGAAACAATGTTTATTTAAGAGCCTACCTCCCACAGCTATACTGCAACTGTAACAAAGAGATCTTAACTTAAAGGCCTTACTAGTTTTAGTGTCGGCGCCATGTTTTCGCAAACAAGCCACTGCAGGACGTGCCTTAAATTGGAGTTAGAGTATTAAGCGATTACCATTTTTTAATATACGCGTAAGTGCTCTGTTTATGTACAAACAAATTCCGAATTATATTATAGTTTATTATTTGCAAAAAGGCGATTTACGGGCGCAGACGTTTGCACACAGGCAGAGCACAATGTTTACATAAACTAATAAGTGATAGAGCGAAAATTGCGGTTGTCTTTGTGGATCAGTTGTCCACAGCGGATGGACAGCTACACGCGAAAACAAGGATATGACGTTCTTTATGATTTTATGTCTCTGTCGTAAGGTTAGTCGGTGGTGTTTAACCAACTTTTGTTGAAGGATAAGTATTCGATTTCCTAAATAACTCGAGATACCATTTCAAACGTTTTATACCTGAAGACCGTGTTATTAGGAAAAAATATATACTTTGACGACTATTCAAAGGGATATTGGATATAATATGTGCTTGGATTTGGATCGTTGCTTGAAACACCTCAAATGCTTTTCTCTCCAATTAGTAACATCTGTAAGTTAACTTGGATTGACAAATTTGCAAGTCTTTTGGAGTACATAAATTAAGTGCCCGTTTTGGTATGAAGAGGTTGAGGGACGTGCCTTAGTATAATATAGTAGTGTATGGAAATATTATCTCGGGAGGTTTTTACCATCTTGAAGGCCCAAAACTCGTGATTTGTTGAATTCAGTAAGGTCTAAATAACTTATTTGCAGAGATAAGCGTTGAGGTTGTTAAAGCACAATGTAGGAATGTTATTTCCGTTAGTATTTTCTTCTTCTGGGGGTAATATGATTATTTTTTAATTTATAAGTAGTTTATTGGTGTAGATCTTGAAGTTATTTTACGGTCTGCTTTAACACTTTGTTTGTTACCTGTTATTTACAGCTAGCAGGGAGCACACTGTCTAATAACTTCAAAATCTACATGTCATTAAATTAAACCCCCCATCCGTTAACGCAGTTTTTGGTACAAACAACATTGTCCGTTATGAGCTCGTTATACAGTAAAATGATGCTTTATGAAATATAAGGCCAATAACACACTTTTCCAATACCACGACATCAATATGAACTGGTTAATTAAAAACGAAAATTCAAAAATCATCATCTGTAATTTTTTGCGTCATAGTGTTTGCAATAAAAGTTAAATCCGACAGAGAATTTTACCTAATATCTGATTTAATTTTCACCTGTTATTCACATTTTTTCTTTTCATAATTTAATCTGACGTTCATACGTCAAAATTATTATCCGATCATTACCTTATTTTTTTTTCTTCACTAAATGAAACTGGAATATTCATCAAAACAGCGCTAGTAAACATACATCTCGCAGAGTGCGCTATTTTGAAGGCAATATTGAGGTTCTAGTTTATCTCATTTTATCAAAGGATTGGAATATGAGAGAAGGATAACGGAAAGTTGAAGGATCTATATTTAATCAAATACTCATATATGAATAGTCGTATTTATAGGTCGCGCGGCCGTCGATAGTGTTGCGTATAGACGGAGCAAGTATAGCAGTCTGTAGCCTGGAAGTTAGTAGGGTAATAAGCCCTTTGCCCTACTATCAGCGGCATTGTGTGCTCGCTCTATTGCTTTCAATAGCATGATAAGAGCGAATATATTGCTGCAAGCCGTAGTGGAGGTGGTACGTAAATTAATGCTAACACTTGTTGAAACTATCATCACTAACTAAACATAAAACCTCATTAGCTTATATTTACGTGGCATCTCAAAACTATAGCTTTTCGAATGAACTGGTTTAAGTGAAGGCCCTTTCGAACGGGGTGGGGAGATTGTTAAATTTGAGTGAACTCTGATCGTGCCGAATAGGTCTAGTATATTTGACTTCGGAGTGACGAGTGTAAAGAAGCCCCCCGACGCAACACTACGCACGAGTTTCTTATATTTAATCATTATTATTATAACATATAATCAACATATAATCACTCAATGTCATAGGTTATTGGGTGTTGTCATTTCTTCTCTTCTCTGGAACCTACTTATCTCCGAGCTATTATACTCTACCACTGAATTATTTCTCTTTAACGTTTCGAATGTTCGGTTTTGTTTTTTAATATTATGTATTTTATATTGTATAACATTCGTCTGTCATTTTAATTAATTACTATTTTTATTTAGTTCAACAAAAAAAAACCAAAACAACTATTTTTCTAAGCAATGATTTTATTTTAAATTTCAATTCTCCTTAACTTTAATATTAACAATATATTAAGAATAGATATTAAGATTTTATCAGAATTCAACATCTGTTTCTTCATATATAACCGACTCCTGTAAAGTGGGCATATACTCATAGCAACAACTTTGAAAGTTTTCTAAATTATATTAAAACTCCAATATTTTGGATTCCGGACGATCTTGTAATGTGCAACAATAAATGATTTTAAATATTATCGAGAAAAAGTGAGTAAATGCCCGCTACCAATGCTCTATAATATGCATTTATTGAAATAAATATGATTATAGGAAGTAAATGGTTTTATTAATATTCCAAATCATGAAGCATCATCAGTAATATTATTTTCAATCTCTTCCGAGTGCGCTACCAAGCTCCTTCCCTTCAACATTATCTCCATTATCCTGAAAAAAAATCGTTTATCATTAAAAGTTGCACAAAATCTATACATATAATAAAATTGTAACTAAGCCGAATCTGTACATTAAATATTTTTTGGAAAATGTTATTGAAAAAGACATTATTATTGATACAGAGGCCGAATCTATAGTTTTAAGAATTTTTGTCTGTCTGTCTGTGACCGCATCACGGAAAAACCACTGAAGGGATTTTAATGAAATTGATTGTATCTGGTACACAGCTTGTTATCCGGCTCAACATTCTTTTTACAACACCTTTTTACAACAAGATTCTTTTTACTGCTGGAAAATATCTCATCTCTGGGAAATCTATACTAAACTTTACAATTTAAGTAGGGACGAACCCGAGAGGAGCCACGGTGAGTCACATAACTAAAAAGACTTCAAAATATCATTATACAATTGTAAGAAAAAAATTTAAAGTCGGTTGACAATGAAGTTATCGCATTTCATAATATACTTATACATATTAGATTAATAAATATAGAAAATATATCCGAACTAAGTACTTCCTGCTTATAAATATATCAATGAACTCTTAGACTAAACATGAATAAGAAAATTAAGATGGTATTATAGAATGATTTTATCGTAATTATAATAGGTTCGATCCCCGCACGATGTAATTGTTTAAATACTTAAAATTCCATCAAGTAAGTACATAATGTTATATCTAAATATAATAAAGAAAGATTTTTCTAGACCATTGGACAAGTTTAGGCTATGACCATAGGATATTCTACCTAGGGACATACCCTTGGGTCTAGAGCGAAGCTAAGATAACTCTCTAGTCTATATCTATACAGATAAATAAAATTGAAATGTCTGTTTGTAATGTCAAAATAACAGCCTTTTACTAAATGCATATAGAATTAAATACGGTATTTATAAGAAAAACTCAATTAATACTTTCTTAGTTTTACGCGAATACTTGACATTTTAAATAAAACGGGAACCAAAAATCTAAATAAATCCGCGAAAAAATCCGAAAAAATACTTTTATTTAAAAACTCAATTTTTAAATTTTTTGTTACTCGGTCTATCTGTTTGTTCCGGCTAATCTCCTAAACGGCTGGGCTGATTTTGACGCGATTTTCACTGGCAGGTTGTTGAAGTTATAAGGAGTAGCTTAGGCTACTTTTATTTCAGTAAAAGAATTAGGTTTCCGCTCAAAAAAAATGTATCCAGGGACGAACCCGAGCGAAGCGAGGGTCAGTCGCTAATACTAATATAAATATGAAACTTTTTCGTTTTTTTAATGTTAAAGATAACAAATAAACCATTGAACAGTCAGGCAAATACAAAAGATATTTATTATCCTGGTATTTATTTCGGTGGGACAAAAAGTAAATTCTTATTCTTGAGTACTTGTCACTAGATGGCGCTGCCCAAGAACGTTTAATACACAATGCCCGAAAAATAGTTATCTTTAAGTAATGCCAGAAGTATGTTGCGTTAACACGCCTGGAAGTTAGAAACTTTTGATCTTGTTACATCAATTAGATCACGTGCGATGTAAGCCTATTACAAAAGTGATATGTTAAAATACTTTCTTAGATTTACGCAAATATTAGACATCTATACATATAATAAAATTGTAACTAAGCCGAATCTGTACATTAAATATTTTTTGCAAAATCTTATTGAAATAAACATCATTATTGATACAGAGGCCGAATCTATAATTTTAAGATTTGTTTCTGTCTATCTGTTACCGCATCACAATAAAACCACTGGAGGGATTTTTATGAAATTTGATATGATGATAGCTGATTATCCGGGTCAACATATAGGATACTTTTTACCGCGGGAAAACATCTCATTTCTGAGAAAAATACAAAAACTGTAATGTAGTATTAATACTAATATGTAAAATCTTAAGAATTTGATTTTTGGTCATCGGAATTACTAGCATTGCATGCGGGCGAAGCCGCGGGCAACGCTAGTTTTAAATAAAACTATCTATCACGGTCACGGGAGTGTCTATATTGTATTAGTAAAAAAATCCGAAAACATAGTTTTATGTTTGTGGGCAATGGAAGTAAGAGTGAGTGAAAGGGACAAAGGTATGAGAGAGAGAGGAATGATAGATAAAGTAAATTCAAGATGGAGGATCCGGTGTAAGGCGATGTGAGCGAGCTACGCGTTAGAAGATTAAAAATAAAAAGCAGTCATAAGCACTGCCGACAGAAATAAAAACTTAAAACTATAAACAAACAGTTGTTATTTTTGGATATTCAAATTAATTGTCTGATCTTAACTTTAAAGTGTTTACATTTATCTGGTGTTGACACCTATCGACACTCTGAGTGTTAGCGTTATCACGTCACGTGACCATGTCGATGACGACTTACATGAATTTACTCCCCATCCAAACCTGCCTATAGAAGTTTTCACTTCAAAAAATAATTAAAAAACAGATACTGTATTTACTTTGAGTAATTTCCCACGTGTATATGTTTTTTATTCTTTCACACTGAAATGGCTGGACAGTTTTAGATGTTTTTTTACACAGATAGACAATGTCCTGGAGTAACACATATGCTATGTGTTAGGCATGTAAATATGCAATGCTAGCTAGAATAAGTCCTAGTTTAATAAAAAAAAAACTAATAAATACTTACATAGCCAGAAAGAAAACTACAACTTGCGAGGAGATGGTAAGGTAGAAAATGGCGTTGATGCTCGAAGTGTCGAGGGTTGCCTTGTACAGCTGGGCGTATATAACTGAAGCAAACATTGCCACGGCATTTTCCATCACAGACAGGAATGCGAAAGCCACCCCTGAAATTAAATATATTTAGAGGTAACATGGTCACCTAAAACTATGACGACCATAGTCATATATACCAAATATTTATAACTAGCGACTCACCTTTACTTCGCTCGGGTTCGTCCCTAGCTTGCTTCAAAATACAAACTTTCATTCCCATTTTTTTACCCTTAAGGGATGATTTCCGGGATAAAAGTATCCCATGTCCTTCACAGGGTCTCAAACTATCTTCTTACTAAATTTCATCTAAATCGGTTCAGTAGATCCAGAGATTACCCGCTACAACCTCACAAACTTTACCTCTTTATAATATAAGTATAAATGTCCTCGACACCGATTTCGGCCACAGCGGCAAATCTCATAAGACTAATTAAATGCACAGGAGATATTTTTTCACCGGGGAAATGGTAATTTGACTCAACTGATGTAAGATCAGGCAGGACCGGTAGCTTTAATCCCTTTCCGAGCTACGGGAATCAAACTACTGAATATTTCGTGACAGTTACTTTTGGCCTAACCCGGTATTCGAACCCAGAACCAGTCGTATATACAAGTTAATAGCACAGGGTGGCATTTAGCAGACAATACTGAACCAGATACACGTTGCGATCGTCAAAAACGTTTTATTTTGAATAAAGATAACGCATAAGAAGAACAGTGACTTAAGTACACTATTATTATTACACGTAAAAGTATACTAATATGTAAAACCTAACAATTTGATCTTTGGTCATCTGAATGAGGGCGGAGCCGCGTGCAATGCTAGTATACAATATATATAACTTTTACCTTAAACTCACTAACCTCTTTCACTGGGTGCAAGTACTTTAGATGTCATCGAGCGTATGAGAGGAGCGACACAAGGGCCCAAAGCCGCTGCAGTAGCTCCTATATACATAGTTGTGCCTGTCTGTGCGTGCGCGTATGTCATGTGCCCCGTTATGTGTGCTGTTGCCCCTAACATCACGATTATCTGTTGAATAAATTTTAATTTTTAATTTTCAAATTCATCATTAAATAATAACAATTTTTTACTGAACGTCATGAGTCTACTACCAGTTCGGAAAGAAGAAACCTCAGACCTGAGAAGAACTGGCGAATGAAACTCAGTGGCACTAATATTAAGTATGATAACGCTTGGATTTAGACCACTTTTGTAGAATTGTGTATTTTTGTTAAGTATGTATGTCATATTGATGACCCTATTAAATGAATAAATAATTCATATAATTAAATATTTTGTATACTAATAATGTAATAGTACTTGGGCGAACGAGCTTCGCTCGGCGAGTTTTGGTAAAATCCTGTTTTTTTCGGAATTTCAGGAAGGTTGTGTTTTTTCAAAAAACCGAGTATAACTCGCGTTATCTAAAAAGAACGCTGGAAGAAAGTGTAGAGGGTATGTTTGCGCATGGGTATACTCGCGCACAAAAGTACTAAGCCTATTATTTTATTTTTCATAGCATTTCGCTCGCGGCTTCGTATATTAGTTATTGGTAGGGATATTGAAAAATATATTAGATAGAATATCATTAAATAGAATTCTATTCATTATAAAAATATGTTTGATTCAGTGCAAAATGTTTAATCTACTTACAAAAAATAAATTAATACGTTTAATACATTTTTTTATTATTAACTGCATTATTATTAGATTCTCTCTCTCTTTGTAAAACACGTCAAAAACATTTTTTCTCTTTTCTATATATAAAACCATTTCGTAATTAAAAACTTTTGTGTGCGCGATGGTATTTCGAACTGACGAAGCATGCGGCGCGTGCCCCGCTGCCCCGCTTCTTACTACTAATTTGACCGATAAATCGCTTCTGCGCAGCTTGACAGCCAACGTTCTTTTTAGATGACGCGAGTTATATCAACCAGTTCAAATCCCGGGTCTCGCACCTCTGATATTTTCATGTGCGAATCATTTCCAACATGAATACCACTTGCCTCACGGTGAAGCACCTAAAAACTTTTCGAAAGACGTGAAGTACACCAACCCGTACTTGGCTAGCGTGGTGGACTATGTCCCATAGGGCCCGTGCCCAGTAGTAGCAAGATATAATATAGGAAACTACTTTATTCAAATATATTTTTACTAGGCTTTACATCAAAAGATGCTCTGATTGTTATTAGTATTCACATCCCAAATATATATAAAAATAATCAAGTTTATACTTAGCTGTTATTTAGATCTTATTAACGGGGGAATGCGGCTAGCATTCTTGCCACTGTTCCACGCGGACATGACTTGTACAGTAATAACTAAGTGTACATTTGTTTTGTATATATAATTAAGTATATTTGTAATTTCATTTATAGTAAATAAAGTTTTTTCCATATTGTCAAAAAAATCTTATTATTTTATAGGCACATTTTGCTTTTTTGAGCGGAACCCTAATTCTTTAGCTATTGACTATCTATCTGTCAGTTAAAGTCTCTTCAAAATCAGTCCAGCCGTTTCAGAGGTTATCCTGAACTGTTTGTTCAGACAGACAGACAAAAATTTAAAAAAATGTGTTTTTCTTATAAGTACCGTATATAATTTCATATGTATTTAGTAAAACGCTGTTATTTTGACGTTACAAACAGACACTCCAATTTTGCTTATCTGTATAGATGATACGTACTGTATCTCTCCAGTGCAATATCTTAGTCATGAGAGGTATCCCAAACAGCATAACTATGACGTAAGCCGTGCTCAAGTACGTCCTGAAGTTGCTAAAATTAGTTGCGTCCCATTTAAACACCTTCGACGTATATAGATACATCACTTGTTTCTCATCTGTAAATGGACATATAAATATTAATAAACCAGTACCTGAGCGACCGAGTTACGCTCGCTGTTTTTCGTAAAAGACATAAAGATTGTATATTTTTTATTCAGACAGAGAGACAAACTCAAATTCTAAAAACTAAACATTCAGCCTCTGTGTCCAATAATAATTATTTTCAATAAGATTTTTCAAAGAACATTTAATGTACAGATTCGACTCAGTTACAATTTTATTATATGTAGAGATAAAGAATACAACACAATTCCAAAGCATTAAATTTTCTGAGCTTCAGTAGCCGGCCGCTAGATGGCAGTTTTACAAAGTGCCCTTTCCCCATTTGAGCATTTCCACATTTTTGCCTGAACTATTAACACAGTGTTACAATGTTGTAGTTACCTGAATTTACACTAGAGGTAGTTACTAAATAAATATATTTTTATATAAAATATAACTATGAAAAATAACTGAATAAAAAAATAAATCAAGTTTTTATGGAAACATGTTAGAATTTAGAAGTGAAACTTCATTGGTTATTTATATTTCAAATCTGTAAAACTAAAAAAAAATGATAATATCTTTTAATATTACACTCAGACAAAATGTGATTCAAACGAATATCACACGAAGAGGAGAGAATAATATTTTATCTCTTTATATCTAGCTGATTCTTACATCATATCGTCGTATCGCATATACTCTAAGGGACAACGCGAATCCGAGCTAATAATATATTTATAAATTTGTTATAAATATATTGCAGATTTGAAAAAAAAATAGTAAAACGAGTAATCTTTGAAGATAGCAACGGAAAGAATATCATACATTATATCATTTTTCAAAATTCATTTTTAACAACGGTTACTAGGCAACCATGACGGCTTTTCGTGACGCGACTTCTTCGATAAACAATATTATTGTTGATCGAAGCGCGACTTTGAAATTTTACTCTGATGCGCGCAAAGAAGTTTCACTTCAATTATAGAATACTTACCTCTTTGGAATGTGTAAAACGCCATCGAAATCAAAAGGAACCAAAGGTACAGTCTCCTTTTATCGGGCCTGTTCTTCGTCAAAGTTAAACAGGTCTGCTTAATGTTTTGCAAATCAAAAAAGTCCGTAATAGGATTCTTAACTCCCGCTTCTCTCAAAGATCTTTGTTCAGGCCTCGTTTGCCATTTGAGGAAAAACAAACAGTATAAAGTGGAAATTATCATTAAACTAGAGTTGATTGTGAACATTGCTGTGAACGATCGGTTGACAACTTTGTTATATAGAAGGTTTCCTGAAATAGAGAAATAAATAAATTTACTTATTTAAATCTATACAGATAAATAAAATCTATACAGATAAATAAAATAATGTCTGTTTGACATTTCAAAATAACAGCTTTTTATTAAATGCATATGAAATTATATAGGGTACTTTAATAAGAAAAACATTTTTTTTTATTTTAGTCTGTCTGTTCACGGTTGTCTGTATGTGTGTTTCAACTAACTTCGCAAATATCTAATTAGATATCCATAGTAAATGAAAACCCCGTTCAATTATTTTTACTTTTTACTAAAAAAAATGAAATGCCTCAGGTTTGAAGCGTGGCAAGTGATACATTTTTTTTGCTTATCTTTTCACAGTATTTACCCGGAAAGTATCCCGTTTCCGGGATCTTTTTGCCTGTATTTAATTTAATACCTGATCAGAGACTACGCAGTAGTAAATTATATCCTACATCGCACGGATACATACTTTCCAAGACTTAATAATACAGCTAATGAAATTAGCTAACATCAGATCGACTAATATTAAGTCAGACACATGAGAGTCATACGTGTGAGTGATAAATGTAGAAAATAATAACCATATCAGCATAGATTAGATGATGTCAGTGGGATATTATTACTCGTATCAAATGTATTCATTAATCTTAACAAGATGTCTCTATAAAATAGTACCTATTCAGTTTATACACACAAAGTGCCATTTTACTTTAAAAGTACTTACTGTTTTACCTTACATAAATTCGATTAAATTTTTATTAATTCTAAGGAATTAAGAAATTTTTTATTAGGTAATATTTTATTTTCTGTAGGTACCTATAATCTAGCTTTTTATAACGGTAACACGTGCACTTCTCGCAATTTGTTATCTTCATAACTAAGGTGCTTTTTGTAATACGTAATAGGTAGATAGTTGAATGATGATATCATCAAGGTTATAGGAACTAAGTGTGTGTATATCGTCCGTCTACAATATTCAAACCAATAGAATACTGAGTTTTGATTAATAACAAGAGTTTCGTTAAAATTAGTTAAATCAACTGCTCACACTTATTCAATAACGGGGAAAACCGCTTGAGAGTTTACACGTGATGGTGGAACTGGTGCACTTTTGTCAGCACCCTTAGCCAACCACGTCGATTATGCGCCCGATACATGCCAGTTTGAAGATATCTAGTGCAAGTTAATACGAACGTACGATTGTATTATCCTAGAGCCCAGATCGCCAGCATCATCGTAATATATTCCTTAATTATATTTCTATACTTTGTACCCATGGACCGGTGACCATGTTTAGGTAATTTTTTTGGTCTGGTTTTTGGCTCATTTTTTTAACATGCTTTAATCCATACTAATATTATAAATGTGAAAGTGTGTTTGTTTGTTTGTTCTTCTTTCACATCGAAACGAAGAGACGGATTGGCGTGGTTTTTGTGTGCAGAAAGTCAAAGGGTTAGTAAGCGACATGGGCTACTTTTTACCGCTGGAGATTATCTCATTCCCAAGGGAAAACACGTTACAATACAACCCAAAAAATATTTATGATCAGATTTATTTTTATGGTGTTCAGTGACAAAAGAGCAAACAGACCACCTGATGGAAAACAGTACGTGTCGCCCATAGCACCTACGATTCATGCACTTAGGTTTTATGTAACAAAAATGCATAACCGCAGGTGCGTTGTCACTGTGAGGACTAAGATGATATGCCTCTTGCCTGTGATTGCACTGGCTACCTTATCCTTCAAACCAGAACACAACAATGTTATCATTGTTGCTTGGCGGAAGAAATAGATAAGGGGGTGATACCCATCCATTCGGACTCCTCAGACTTGACAGAGTAGTCCTACCACCAGTAAAATTTGATGAATTACTTGAAACTTGGTATTAATGCTCTTCACTATAATTAAATAAATACAGACAGATGTTTTTACTTATAGTAATCTAGACATATAATGAAACTGTAGAGGTCGAATGTCTGTACATAGAAAAAAAATGCTAAAAACCGAGTCAGGTGGAAGTAAGAAGAGAAATAGAACAAATCCAGCTTCATTGTTTCTCTTTATTTTAAAATTTTTAAAATTAAAGAGTTCTCGTGAGATACTTAAAAATCTATAGTAACTTATACAGCTTAATACACAAAAGCTACTGATTGAATTATATGAAATTTTACAATCATATAGTTCTTATGAACTATATTATTGGAATAACAAATAGGCCACTATTTATCCCGGAAAAATATACGGTTTCCGTGGGATAGATTCGTTTTTGTTTTTCAGGGTGAGCCGCTAATTATTAATAAATAATTAATAACCTTTTAACAAATGATCAAAACACTGACGATCTTAGACCATATAGATCATTACGATCGTAGAAGCGTATAAGTAATGTTGTCTAAAATATTATCAAAATATATAAATGGGTTCAATATGCACATGAAATCGACTTTGCTCTCTGTCAGATAATGATCTGTTGTTGATCTATTTATCTATAAATAAAATTGAAATGTCATCTGCGATGTCGTAATATCGTAATAAGTGATGTTAGTTCCTGATATAAATACATTTGAACAGTGATAAGGGCCACCTTCTGACCTGGGAAAATAAGATTCGCCGCGAGCTAGTAGATAGAACTACATTTGCTTGATTATAATTACGTTACATTGAAACTAGGCACTTACTTGTACATGCTTATGCACTGCATGCAATACCAACTTGGCATCTTTTTACATACGTAATACATATATATAATATATATATATATATATATATATATATATATATATGACGAGTCTATTACACAAGATTATCTAAAAAAGTGTGTCAAATCTCTGAAAAACCGATTAAAAGCTGTAATTAAAAATAGAGGCGGTAATACGGATTATTCAAAATTATAAAACCAATCGAAATCTTTTAATTTTCCCATTAATTTGCGGCTTACATTTTTATACCAAACTCGCGAAAAATCATTAAATTTGATTTTCCTTTATTTTCGAGCAATAATTTTTAACAAAATTAATAAAAAATATCATATCTTAAGTTTGTCCATTTTCTCTAGGTGGCCCGATTTTTTTGCACGCCAGTGTATATATATATATGTATGTATATATATATATATAAAAATGTTTAAATTGTTTTTTATTATAAGTATCGTATGTAGTTTATACATACTTTCATATTTATTTACTAAAAAGCTGCTATTTTGATATTAAAAACAGACACTTCAATTTTATTTATCTGTGATACCGGAAAACAACCTACGACATAAACAGTAGTTTTATTGTAAAAAAATATGTTTATTTATATTTATTGTTTGTTGTTATAGCGGAAATAGAAATAAATACGCTGAGAAAATTCCAACTCTCTACCTATTACGGATCGTGAGATACAGCCCTGAATGACAGACGGACGGACGGACAACGGAGGCTTAATAATAGGGTTCCGTTGACACCCTTCGGGTACGGAAGCCTAAAAACAAGATTTCGTAAATAGATAACAACTTGTTATATTGACTTCATTATGTGTATAATTAAATATCATAAGTATCTATTATCTGTGGCTTAATATTACTTTTGATTTGCTTATAAACAATATTGGAGAGGTAAAAAAAATTAATAAATTAGTCTAAACTCTAGAACAAAATATAGTATTTTGAATATAGAGTAGGTATAACGTACATAAAAAATATCTACATTTTCATTATTTTAACAAAACTATAGTAATTTGAAAACAATTCCAAAATTGATAAATTTGTTTAAATATTCCGTTTTATTTATTATAATATGTAAATTTTTCAAACATCCACATAGATAGGTGTAATTTGAACCCACCAATTTAAGTGCAGATACTTTACAATACTTAATATTTAAATAATTGAAGATAATAAATTACTTTTTCATAAAAAAATATATTTCTTTTTCATCGATTTAAAAGAAGCAATTACTCAATTCGATTAATTTTTTTCTTTTTTCTTATGTACGTGACGCGATATTTTGGCAAATCGTGAATCGATTTTTATAATTCTTTTATGGCCTAAATAAATAACGGCCCAATATAAATAAAAAACTCCAATAATAATTATGAAATCGGTGTACCTTTATTATAATTTATAGATAGAAATTAAACCTAGTCATTATCAGTAATAATTTCAATTACCTATTTGATTAAGAATTATAGAAATGAACTTATACATATAAAAACGTGTGTATGAAGTATGCACTTATGTACGCACGTAAGAAGTTATACTTCTTTGGCGTAACAGAACAAAAATAGCTTCTTTCCAAACGTGCCAAAAGAAGTATAACTTTAAAAAAGCTGAAAGAATAAGTTATGTTTGTATGCCTGCACCAGCTTTCACTCTGCTGGGGTTTCAGCAGTTTTATTGTCAGTAATTTTTAATACTACAGTGTGAAAACAAAAGGTATTTTATAATAAAAATAAACTAATATATTACCTATATACAATAATAATATAGATTTATTAAACCTTTAATTGATTGTATAAATTAGTTGGGAATTGTTCTGGCTAATTCATTAAATCAATGAAATCCTTATTATGCACTAAATTCCATATAGAATCGGGTAAATTGATGCTAGTAATTATTTATATGAGTAAACATGAATATAGTCAAAACTAAAAGCCAGAGGTGAACTCTGCTAAATTTGTAAACAAATTATAGTATATATATTTTATAAACATCTCCGTTTCAGCGGGATTCCTTACAATATCTGAATGTTGATGGATTCATTTTTAATGCAATGCCATTTTAAATCAAAACTCATTTTGTAATTTATACATAATATTAAATTTTCTTTAAGGTTTAATCTCCTATAGTTCATACAGTAGGAACCATTTTTATTTCGAGGGCGAAAAATATGGTATGTCATAGGAAGTATTTGATCAAAATCTATTCAGTAGCTTTTGCGTGATAAATAAAACCTCTTAACCTTAACCTTACGTAATAAGTGGTTAACCTTAACCTTAGGTAATAAACTTTGGTAATAAGTGGCCTATGTCACACTCCAGCACTCCAACTATCTCCACACAAAAGATCACGCCAATCCGTTATTACGTTTCGACGTGGAAGAAGGACAAACTGGAGGTTGGAGGTTGGAGGGCTGGAGAGTGACATAGGCTTTTTACCGCGGGAGATTATCTAATTCCCAAGGGAAAACCCATTTTAATACAATCCAAAAAAAAATATGATCAGAAGAATTACTTGAAACTTGGTATTAATGCTCTTCAATAAAATTAATAAAATAGGTGTTTTAGCATTTTTCGAAATCATCATATAAGGGGGTAGAATAGGGGATAAAAGTTTGTATGAAACCTACCCTTTTACATATTTTTTTGAAGTATTAGCGCGAGCGAAGCCGCGGGTTCTACTAGTATAATAATAATATCATTTATTCCATAGCCATCAAGCATAATAACTATTTATGCAAACTTTATCTATACTAATATTATTTGCATGTTTGTTTGTTTGTTTATTTGAACGCGCTAATCTCAGAAATACTATTACGATTTGAAAATTTTTTTGCACTAGATAGCCCATTTACTAAGGAAGGCTATAGGCTATATATACCATAAATAATATAATAAAGTCTATTTATACCATACTAACCGTTAAAACGTATCTATGGACGAACTAGGTTGAGCCGCTAGTACATAAATAAAGCAACTTAATAGAAAAAAAATGACGACAGTTGAAACTAGATAGTTCTAGATAGAACTACATAGTATAGTAAATAAGATTACAAATAACGATACTATAAATAATATTATATGGAATGCGTAGTATTTGATTGTTTCAATTCAAGTATTTTACATGTTGCTCATAAAATAAAACATCATTTTATTTAGACCTTTGTTAATGACTTGATCATTCATTCTTCATAATTAATAGTTAACTATATCAAATCATCGTTCAAATTGAGATTTCTAATGACTTAGTTTGTCATTGTTCAATTTAATGTAACTGGCCACGTTTATTGAACGTGTTTGACACATTTTTTAAGAAACTATGGGAAGAGTCTAATTGAAGGTTACGGAAATTAGCAGTAAAATGTTAATAAGTAAATAAATATTTATTGTATAATCTATAATTATAATAATACTACAAATATTATTGATATATAAAACTATAGATGTACAGTTAACAAATATATTTTCAATAAGTGCATGTGACGAATGTTAAGCCAAAACTAAAGGATTAAACCCAAAAATCGTAAGTTCTGATTGTGTTAATTCAAATTCGAATTTACACGTATGAAAATTGAAAACAATGTGCGTACTACATAGTACGTCAGGTGAAATAAAGTTTTAAAGTATAAAAAAGAACAATAAAGAATAAAAGCTATAGTAGATCGTTGTTATATTTATTTTATTTTCTAAGAAAAATTGCAATTTTTAAATATTATATTATTGCAAAGAATATTGACGTAAAATCCTATTGTCATAAGGAATGTGTTATCATTGTGCATTTATTCCTCCCAAATAAAACATTAAGTAATTAATTATTTGTTATAAATGAAAATAGGTTAATGTTTTACTAAAAAATATTTAAATAAATAAAATTACTACTAAATAAAAAAAAGTAATTAAAAATGTGCATAACGATAACGACTCCATTTAAATAAGAACAGAGTTGTGTATGAGCCCATTAACAATAGGAAGTTAAATATGTAGCGTTCTTAGAACAAACAAGCGGTCATTAAAATTGGTCGTATATACCGGTATGTCAAGTAAAAAAACAAATTAAATAATTATAAATTAAACATTTAAAAAACGCCCTACGCAAATTAATTGTCATTTAACGATTACACTGGCCCGCGTGAAGCACTTAATCGAGTAATCGTACACCAAAATGCCTTACATCATTTTGGAAAAGAGGTGATACTCTTATACTGCTGGGCCGATATTAACCAAACATAGCTAAGAACCACCGCAAGGAAACTGGCTTTCAAATGAAAAAACCGCATCGAAATCGGTCCATCCGTTTGAGAGATACGATGCCACAGACAGACACACACACACAGACAGACAGACATCGACGTCAAACTTACACCACCCCCCTTTTTGCGTCGGGGGTTAAAAATCAAATATATTACAAAAACATATCGATATATAGTATTTTTATTTATCGAAAATAAGTACTATATTCCATCTTTTTTTAGACTTTTAAATGTAGTTTTTTTATATAACATAGCTCACGCAATTCGAACCTCGAGCATGAATAATTCCCATAGTATGTGAAAATTGAGAGTATTCCCTCCACGACCGCGGACACGCCGGCGTTACGGTTAACAATAGATTTCTTAGAAATAGAAATTTAATTAATTTCTTAGAAATTTACCTGAAGGTGTTATAGCTTTCTAGTCGCATCGTATCGAAATCATCGTAATTCGAATTCCTTTTGAAATACGATGTCCATACTATTATTATAAATGTGAAAGTGTGTTTGTTTGTTTGTTTGTCCTTCTTTCACATCGAAACCGAGTGACATATGGCGTGTTTTTTTTGTGTGGAGATAGTTGGAGGGCTGGAGATTATCTAATTCCCACGGGAAAACACGTTATAATACAACAAAAAAATATTTATGATCAGAATTACTCGTGAAACTTGGTATTAATGGTCTTCAATAAAATTTCATAAATACGTGTTTTAGCATTTTTCGAAATTCATCCTTTATGGGGGTAAAAAAATGGGATGAAAGTTTGTATGAAACTACCTTTTTAGAGATTTTTTTGTAGTTTTAGCGCGAGCGAAGTCGAGGGTTTTGCTATTAATTTATATAATTGACTGATGATTTGGTGAAAGGAAATGAGCCGCAGGCGCGATATCTAATGTATAAAATTCTCGTGTCACAGTGTTTGTAACAAAATTCCTCCGAAACAGTTTGACCAATTCTTATGAAATTTTTTGTGTATATTCAGGTCTGAGAATAGGCCGTAAACTATTTTTCATACTCCTAAGTGGTAAGGGTGGTCCGCCCAAAAAAAATTTTTTTTTATATTTTGGGCAAAAAAAATTATTTTAACTTTTTTATGATTTGACATTAAAAAAATACATACAAACCTAATTTTTTTTTCGCTAGTCTATTTATAATATTTGAACACGTAAATGCACGTAGCGGTAAACCTAAAGAATTATCTATGTCTGCCACGGAGGCTATAATTTCCACTAGAATCTAGCCATTACAAAAATATTTACATTTGCTACGGTCTGGATTACGATTTTGTTTATATTGACTGACCCAGGGCAAAGTAATTTAATGTAGCCGTTAGATGCGTTTCGTCATAGATTTGTTTATTTTATAGATATATACGGTAGATACATGGAGGTATTTATCAGTTGTTTTATTTATTAGTTATTTATTGTTTAAAAAAAACACTTTTTAAAATCTAATTTTGAAAGAGCACACAGAACTACGAGTAAGACACTTGCATCATCATTTTAAATCGAACTATTCTACTGAACAATAAGTACTTACCTATAGCTACTCCAGTGGGCATTGTACTCAAATAAACAACGTCCAGAATACCGACTCTTAATGTTCTATTATTTAAGGACGAGACATCGGCGATGTAAGCGAAACATCCCGCGAATATCGCGAGATCTGACCCCGTTAAGGCACTGGGGAAGGCTGCTGTATAAATTACATACTCGAGTGGCCAAGCTGGAATGAAAATATATAGTTTTATAACTTAATCTCCTTATATATTTGAACGAACAGTAGATTTATATTTAAGTGAATTTAAATATTTTAATTAGTCCTAAATTAACTCCTACTTTTGATAATGTTTTTACTTTAATGTAATATCTTTTGTGGGTTTGTATGTATGTATTATCTCGAAGCATTCATTATACAATTGTTATATATATTTAATACGTAATTCGAAACTTTTAACACAACGGAAATTATCTACACGATACACCAGCCACCATCACTGGGATCGTCTATAAACTATATAATAAAAATGAAATGCTGCTCGTTGGCAAGCGCATGACTTGAGAACAATAACAAACGTAAAAACAAAATATTAATAATAATATACCCGTTTGTTCCGGAAATAAATTGGGAAAAGTTGAACGGAAAATTAGTAAATTCGATTAAAACTTCTATAAAGATGTTTTTTGTACAGAAAATACAGGTTTTACTTTTTAATCTGTACAAATAAAACTGAAACGGGGTTTTAGTTTTATATTAACAAATCTATCCTAAACCTAACCTAAACTTTCACATTTATAATATTAGTAAGATGATGAGTATAATATATTGAAGTAAGATTTTTATTACAGTAATAAAAATCTAATTATATAGTGCTACTATATCTATCTATACTAATAAAATTATGTAGATCCGATGTTTTTGTTCGGTTATACTGTGATAACTACTGAGCTGATCGGAATAATACTCATATCAAAAGAATTAAGATGCAGTGTGTTTAGGAGAAGGTTTTAATATATGATCCCCCCCAACGTGCGTTCACCTTGTCGTGGTGGGGGGGCTCAGTAGTGCCAGGCAATCCAACCGGGCGCTAAGAAACGCACAGGGAGGTTGCCCACTTCAGTGGGCGGTGGGAGGTGGCCCTCTTCGGGGGGCGGTGTACCATGCGGGTTGCTCCTGGTACTTCTCTGATAGCAGAGTGGACTGTGGAGCAACTCCATGGTTGTGGTGGTCTGCTTCGGCAGACCTGCCGTCGGGGCGTCGTAGTTGAATGCGCAAGCGATCCTGCGACGCCCCATTACGACGGGGGAAGGTTTTGTTGGGTAGTACTGGCTGTTTTACGCCGGTGAGTCCCACACGTCGTGCGTAAATGCATTTCCCAAAGTTAAAAAAAAAAGAAAAAGAAAAAGGCTTTAATATATGATACGTTGGTGATTAATGTACTATGCGGGCGGAGCCCGCAAATAATATAGTGTTTCACTTGTGTCTTTACTGAGAAAATCGCCTGTGAACTACATATAATATTTTAATTGAACTTTTTTAACGCGCAAATTTAACAGTTAAGCTATATTTTTAATTCGTCCATGTTTTAATTATTTGGAATCATGGACGAATTAGAGACTAATTCGTTCATGTTTGGAATATTACCAAAAAATAATCTGATATAAAGCGAGTGAAGCTGCAGGCGAAATTAGTACGAAGCAAAGTACCTATATATATTAATAACTAATTCTTTGGTAATAAAAATTGCAAACGAACGAATTATCAAAGGACATCCATACATAATACATACAAGTAAATGAGAGTAATTTGATAGAAAAATTATTTGAATTAACCAGGTAGGTATTCTAAGTAAATGCAACACATAGCTAGGAAATATTAATCATTCTTCAAAGATTAAAATCGAACTTATAACAGCGTTGAATATTGTATGTTTGAGACAGAGTTGAAGTGAATACCAACAACTTCATAATGATTTTATAATTACAAGCAGGTCATAGTGTGGATGCTAGTAAGAAAATGTATACTTTGCAAAAGCAACAGCCTAGCTCAAATACATACCTACTGCATAACACGTATTCCAATCACTATATCATGTACGTATTATTGAAGTATGTCAATTGTTTTATTGCTCGTAGGTAAATAGAAACAAGCGCGGTTTTCTCTGGCTTTGAATTATTATTGCACATTACATTTTACCAATGGAGATACTATATATTAAAACAAGACTTGCTGAAAGAAACATAAACTTATAAAGCACTTAAGATATCATATTATAAAATACTCACCCATCATAGTGTTAAGGGTAATAACCAACGAAAAATACAGCTTTCCTATAAGCCCGCCTAGTAATAGCACCTTCCGGCCGCGTTTGTCACTGTAAGCGCCGAGGAAGAACGCCAACAACAATGGTACCACATGACTCGCAATACCATTCCATTGGTGGAAAGTTGAAACAGTCACCTGAAAGCGACTGATTCCTTATATATATATATAATCTAAGGAATTTAAATCACCAATGAATTAAGGACAAAGAAAAAAATATAGAAAACAGGACTGAGCAAGGATTAGACGGAAAAGTTAGATTTTTATCTACGTGAAGATGTTAATGAATAGATCTACATAAAACAAAACAGACATGCAATGGCAATAACAATCTAGAAATAAAGAAAACAATGTAAAATATAAAATTAAAACAAATTCAAAACAGCTTTAACAATCCAAAAACGCAAAACAGTAGAGAAGTGCAAAGTGTTATAAAACACGAAATTGCGTTTTATTTACTCAAATTGCTTATGGCGCCATTTTTCTGTTAGTTATAGAGATTTGAGGTTAATTTTAACTCTTCATTATGCAGAAAATTAGCGATATTCATAGGTATATTATGTACCTAGACTTTCACAAAATCTTTATAGCAGGAAGTCAGCCAAGTGAATTGGTTTATCCATTTTATATTTAAATAATATAGAAGATAGATCCTGCAAAAAAATCCACTTCTATTAACCATAGTAAAATAAAAAAAATCCTTTCAAAATGTTTTAATACAAAGATTCCTGTATTATAATACATATACAGCATGTACATAAAATAGGTTACATCGGAACTATGGATACATATTACGCTATAAATATAAGTTACTGATAACCATTGTAAATAATCACATATCAGGTTAAAAATATTCGCAGTATATTTCCAAGGAATTTGATTACGTAAGTAATTGTTACGTAAGAAGTGCGTTAAGCTCTATCATATTGTCGCTAACAATTTTGTAACCATTAATGAAATACTATTTAAAAGTGAGCAATACGAAAACAAATTAAATGTATTCATGAGGCGCGTGCGCCGTTGATAAGCTATACGTGTTTATTATGTTACAGATGGATTGTCGAATCCGCTGTATTACAAAACCACTAGTTGTTTTACATGACAGCTCCGTTATGTAAAACAACTGAACGACGTTTAGAAGTTTTACATAATTACTGAACTTTAACACGTAATATCGCTTAAACGTTTTGCATTTATCAATGCAGCGGGTTAACGATTACACGTATACTTAGTATACTTTAGCTATTTTCACAGCATTATGTCATATGGTATTTTACTATGGGGTAATGCTGCTGATATTGACACAATTTTTGTGCTGCAGAAAAGGGCTGTTCGAGCTATATATAATTTAGGCCCAAGAGAATCTTTGCGGAATAAGTTTAAAGAAATTAAAATAATGACTGTACACTGCCAATACATCTATCAAAATCTAATATATGTACATAAAAATATTGATAAATTCAAGAAATATAGTGACCTGCATAATGTAAACACTAGAAACAAAAATAAGCTAGTTCAGCCCACCACTAGGCTCCATAAAATTGGTAATTCCTTTATTGGTAATAGTATTCGCTTTTACAATAAACTACCAGATGATACTTTAAAACTGTCAATAAATAAATTTAAAATTTACATTAAAAGACAATTAATAAATAAATCCTATTATAATGTAAAGGATTATTTAAGTGATAAAAAAGCTTGGGAATGAATTGCTCTTTATACTGAAGTAAGGATGTTTGTGAAACAATGATCACAATAAAAAAAAAATGTTACTTGGCTGAGTTTCTTGTGGGTTCTTCTCAGACCAGGGCGCGTTACGAACCCTCGTAGCTTTAGTTTAAGTCTTCTAATTGACGTACACAAGTGATCATTGAATTGATACAATGTGTAAAAAGAAGTAAATAAATAAATAAATAAACGTTATGATGGAAAACAGCGTGAAATAAAACGTCAGATTGTAAATTTTACTAATTTTTGATTTCCGATTAGGTGAGTGAGCCGACTTGGATAACGTAGGTTGAGAAGCTCGCATTGACCTTCTGGTTAGGTCGTTTTTTATTTCAAACCCACAACCCCTACTCTCAAAAACTACTAGCGCAATGGTAATCCAACCTCCCCCCTCCTCTTCTTACTTAATTAATGAATGGCCCCTTACATAACATAGCTGTTTTGTAAAATAACTAAAAGTTCTATGAAGCAGCTGCAGCAATCCAGTTCAGTTGTTTAACATAACATTAACGGAGAACTTTAATTGATAGAGCTGTTTCGACAATCCATCTGCGACATATACATATACAGCCTATTTATTAATTTACACTTCGAAAAACTTATTTCTAGAAAATGCAAAGGACTTAAAAGAAGGATCGATTCAAACGTGTAACGTGTATCTATAAATAAACACGAACAACACACCCTTTTTAACTTTAGATGGAGCAGACTAGAAATTGTTCATTAATTTGTATCCCCTAAGAATTTTGTTGATTTTACTGTAGTTTTTTAAAGAAAACGTAAAACAACTACTAATCAGATAGGTAGGTAATATTACAAACAAATCAAATTGTTTACAAAGAACTTTGTAGCTTCGTGTGCATTCTATTTATTTCGCAACTAGCGGCTGATACTCGTTCCGCACGGGTTCGTCTCTGGTTACGTTTTAACGTTTAGTATAGATCTCAAATATCTCATCTCAGAGATGAGATATTTTCCAGCAGTAAAAAGTATCCTATATGTTGACCCGGATAATCATCTATTATCATACCAAATTTCATCAAAATCTGTCCAGTAGTTTTCTCGTGATGCGTTCCCAGACAGACAGACAAAAATTCAAAAAACTATAGATTCGGCCTCTGTATCGATAATAATGACAATTACAAAAAGTTTTCCAAAAAATATTTATTATACTGATTCGACTCAGAATTTTATTACATATATGTATAGATAGTAAAACGTGACATTCGCTAAACTCATACAGGCCAGTATAGTAACAAGATACTACCTAGATTTGCCTATTCATTCAATTGAAATGAAATTTATTTGTTTCAATGTGCAAAAACTAATGATTAAGATGGACTGAATACTAAGTGTTTCTTCATTAGAAACCTACTTTAATGGAGATGTTTTATAATTGTGATTAATATTAATTCTATATTGATGTTTCATATGAACAATTAACATAGAATTCATAAACGTTTGTATGTATATATGGGATTTCCAGGGATCCGGGTCCCAGTCAACAAGTCATGGACTTGCAAAATTAATAGTGTAGACCAAAACATTGAGCATTAGGCTATTCCCACTTCATGCAATATTAATATATGTACCTAGATGGTTGATAACAATTCCCTCCCTTTCCCTTGCACAGAATACATCACACCTGGTTTGTAATCAACTCCAGTGAAAAGTACAGAAATCGGAATAAAACTTATAAGAATACTTAGTACTATTCAAGTAACTTGTAAGTTGTCAGTTGCCACCACTCATAAAGCAAAATACTCACTGTAGAATTGATGTTTATATAACAATCAATAACCAAACCAACCATTTATTAGAAATAGATAACTTATCTATTTCTAATAAATGGTTGACATACAAAACTCTTTAAAAAATTTAAATCCTGTCAATCCTGTCAGTTATTGGTATTTACTGTTGCAAAAATAAAAAAGAATCCATGACATCTTTATTATTGTTCACAGGGCCACTATTGGTACAAAAATCATGCGATAATATTTCCTCATCCAATTTTTTTTTGTATTAAACATCAGCATATATTTAGTAGAGAAAAGAAATTAAATAGGAAATATATCAGAAGGATAGCTGATATCTATTTAGGAAACATGAATGAGAATAAAATTAAAAAATAATTTCATTTTAAAGCAATAAAACTTAATGTTATGTTACCTCTATATTTCAGCAAACATAGTGTGTTAAAAATAAATAGGAATATTTTAGTAAATGTTACCTGAACTTCTTTATTAATATCATCGTAGTTGCTTATGTTGTAGCAGATATCTGCACTGTAACCATGATTGACCGTGCAGGCTTGGAACATATAAAATGTTTGTTCTATCACATTTGTTATCATGTATGCCATCATGTAAAAGAACATGACAGGTTCTACTGTTATGTATTTGTACCATGGTAGTCTTGCACCTTCCTAAAATTTATAAAAATTCAAATATTTAACCAATTCAATTATTGTTGTATAATAAGTTGTTAATATAAAGTAAAAAATGATTTATTACTTATACACAGCCCTTTTACTAATCTGATTGTCATGAAATTTGAAACGGTGAGATTGTATATTTTTATTATAACTTCAAATTCTCATATTTTTGTACAGACTGAAATTATACATATTGTCTGCAGAGATGTAATTGTGTTCCTATAGTAAAATGAACAATTCAAATGAGATTGATGATATATTATGTCATATTAAGACGACTTATGGCTAACAGAAATGTTTTATTTCAAAAATAAAAGATTTAATATTTTTATCTATAAGTGCTTGCCTATAAAGCTGTATTTTTTTAATGTTGCGATATTTTGAAATTATAATAATAATAGTAATTAATCTTCATAACATCTGGCTGTAATAAGCCCAAATTAATAATGTAATTAAAAGATAATAAAATCAGTGTAATTCTAATTTATTTGGATTAAAAAAATATGTAATTAAATAATATTACACTAATTAATTCATTACCTATCATGCTAAATAACATATTGTTTACAAAACAAAAACAAACATTATCTTCTATACCATGGTGAAGTAACCTTTTCTTCATTTTTTAATTCCGTTATAAAACTACGAAATACATACTAATATTTAACTTTTCATAAGTTCAGATAAAGGTAAAATAAATTAAATAAATAAAATTATAAAGTTAGGTTTAAAAGTTAGGTACCTATTAATATTTCGATAATATGTAACACTAACAAAAATTAGCACCACTCTATTTAAGTACTTAATCAAACTTATAATTTTGAGGAATTATTGTTTTAAGGAAGGTTATCTTATATAATTTTAAACTTTATTCCTATTTACTTTATTAATTAAAAAGAGCACTAACCAAATTACACGTTTCTTCTGAGTTATTCGCATCCATTTATATCTTTTGATTGATATATAATTTACCCTTACATCAAATCGATGTATTTCCGAGAAGTATATTTCTAAGTAGGAACTAAGTACACAACCATGTTGTTACAGTGGATACAAAAACAAGAAGATTGAAAACTTAAACATCGCAATTCGCGGCATTTGAATTTTGATATTCATTTTTTTAATTTAATTTTTGCCTTACATTCTTACTTTTTGTTTTTAAGTAGACAAACCACAGAATATGTAGACATTATGTAGCAATATACTCTATGGTAGACATATTACATATTTATGATGCGTGTCACTTGTGTATATTTTATACAACACAGATTATTTATGCAATTTTCAAACTAATTTATTTAGGCAAAGATAATTTATTAAAATATTTCAAGTATCTTACACTTTTAAATTATAGTAATAAGAATCATACAAGTAATACCTTCATAACTACCATAGTAAAAATATTTTAAGTGAAGTTGGCATGTAGGGTGTACACTCAGCCTAAAGGTGTAACTTCCGCATGGATGAAAAGGCGGGAAATTTTAAAACTTATGGAAGTCCTATTTTAGTTAAATTAAACAAGTACAACATTAGGTTTATTCTTTTATTTTAACATAAATACTGACTTAAATTTTAAAATTAAAATTAATGTGAAAAAATGTTTAGTTTTGAAATTAAAAAGTTGCATAATATCAATAGGTAAAGAAATATTATATTATGCTCTTAACATTAATAGTATTATTGTTAATAGCATAATATATTTTTTTATCTCTTAATATTTCTTAAGAAATTAAGAATATTAATATTATTCTTACTGATACTATTATTGAAATGAGTTATTTATAATAAAAACTTTTTAACAAAAAAATAAAAACCGACTTCAAACAAAAGCACTAAAAAGTAAACAATAACTGATTGGTAGTTTTCATTTACTATACATACCTAATCAAATATTTTCGAAGTCGGTGTGCTTTGCTTTGTATGGGCTGGCACCGATTTCGAAAATATTTGATTAGGTATGTATTTAATAGGTAGGCTTTATTTACTTAGCCAAAGCACACCGACTTCGAAAATATTTGATTAGGTATGTATAGTAAATGAAAACTACCAATCAGTTATTGTTTACTTTTTAGTGCTTTTGTTTGAAGTCGGTTTTTATTTTTTTGTTAAAAAGTTTTTATTTTTCCCTTTTTAGTGTAGACAGTAGTAGAAAAGTAAGGATTCTAACGTGTTAGGCTTGTCAAATCAAACAAAATAAGCCCAAACTCAAAGTATCTACTATTAGCCGTTGAAGAGTTCCACCTATCCACCTTCTGGCCTTGCCATCAGATCAGGTCAACAACACCGAACCACTGTACTATCAACGGAAATAGAAATACTTGCAAAGTTTCAAGTCAATATGACAATTAGAAGTAGGTTAAATTCATCATTAGTAGTTTTTCCACCCTTAGGGGTGGTATTTTTTTTTGAAATTTAAATGGGACCAATCTGGAAGTATACCCTTTCAAACGACACAAAAATTGTCCAAATCGGTTTAGAAATGACGGAGTTCTGAGGTAACAAACATAAAAAAAAAAAAAAACATACAGTCGAATTGAGAACCTCCTCCTTTTTGAAATCGGTTGAAAACACTAGCGGCTGACTATCGCTTAGCTTGGGTTCGTCGCTAGGTACGTTTTACATATAAATAAATAGTTATTGCCCAGCGTTAGCCATATAAATTTTTATTATGGTAATTAAGTATTCTTAAATAAGTATTCTTAAATTTTATAATTTTCCGCGCAATTTTTTAAAGAATTTATTTCATAAGAACGTTTTCCTGACAATAACATACACAACAATAAAAATAGTTAAATCGGTCCAGCCGTTCACGCGTGATGGCGTGACCAAGGGAAATAGGGATTCATTTTTATATATATAAGATTTGTTAGGGCTTTAATAATTACCAAAGAGTTTTTATAGTGTTTAGATGAATTTCTTCATCATGTCTCTTTTATTCTGTTAATATAAAAAGGTTACATACCTACTCTATGTTAATAAAAAATGTCTCCACACACTAAGTTTAATTCGCAAACCTAAAAAAGCAAGAGTTTCAAGGGCATATCATAAATGAAATGCCTTCCAATCCAAAATATAGTTTGAAGCCAAATGCGGTTTGTATATACATATTTTCTAATGTATCATTCATTATTTTCTCCTTTTGTAGTATAAATTCCGTAATATTTCGTTATAAAACAATCACATTTTATAATATTTCATATAATATACTGATATTCCTATATTGAAATGAAAATAATTGTATGTTTTATTGTTTGTTCTTAATAATTGTAACATTCTTAGATTATTTATCCGATCGCGATGAACTTTGGCGAGTTGAAGTTTGCCGTTTGCCCAAGGGCCTTTGTAGCAAAGTTGAACCAGTACGTAATTTCATTGTGTATAAATGTTATGACTGAGTTCAGCCATCACTGGACTACTGTAAATGTTTTTATAGCTATGGAATATTTTTGCATATTTTGTGGAGTTGAGTTTTTAGTATACCCTTTGATGATCAATAGGATTGAAGTCTAGAGTAGAAGTTCTGATGGACTAATCTCTTGCTTAGTTAAATCATCTTCATTCTTCAGTATGCTCAAGCACTGTGACTTCAACAAACGAACAGTAGCTTTTTTAATAACAACACTAGTTATTAGTAACAAATGAAGTCCCTTAATTATGTAAATTGCTTTCGTATAATAAAATTCTTCTTAAAATAGAGAAAAATACTCATCGCCAACAGTTTATAGTACCTATGTTACAAAATATTTTACACGTATATCTATATATTTTTTTTTCAATGCATAAATGCTCTACATAGGTTATTTAATAAAAAAAATATAAGAAATATTTTTTTTTGCAGAATAAATTCGGAACACTGGTCTTTAACAATTACTGCCCTACATCTCAAAGTTGCTGTTTCTGTATTCCTTTAAAAGCAGGATCAATCATAATAGCTCTATGTGGTTTATTGCTAAGTATATATTATATTCTATTTTTTTTCGTGGGAGAAGATTTTCTCCATAAGATCGGTCTTCATAAAATTCCAGCTCAAATAATTATTCATATATACGGTGTTATAGGAATTTTATTATTCGCAGTACATATCATATTGCTAACAGCATCCATCGTTTATAATGAATCGTGGATTTTAATGTATCAGTGGGTTATTATTTTTTATTCCATAATAGATCTAATTATTGTTTCATATATCTGCGTCTCAGCGATTAAAAGTAATCAATACATACCTGTTGTTTTAATTTGCATTTTAGACATTTTCTTTTGGATATTATTTTATTTAATTTTATTCCCTGCTATAAATAGTTTCAGAAGAAGTATCCACACAGTTCTTATAATTCTAACGTAAACATGTACATATATGTGTATTCTAGGATATTAAAAACGGATTTATAAATTACTAGCGACTCACCCGACCACCGTCCCTAGCTTGCTTCCCAATACGAACTTTCATCCCGATTTTCACCCCCTTAAAGGATGATTTCCGGGATAAAAAGTATTCTATGTCCTTCCCAGGGTCTCAAACTATCTTCTTACCAAATTTCATCTAAATCTGTTCAGCAGATCCAGAGATTACCTATGCCCTACAACATCACAAACTCACAAACTTTACCTCTTTATAATATTAGTATAGATTTAGAAATTGTTTATTTACCAAGAAAGCTTTCTTATATTACCTATACATATAATATTTATGAATGTTAATCGCAGTATTTAATGTTAATATTTATTTTTAAGTTTAGGTTCATTTAAATATGAACAGATGTTTTTCTCTTACCTGATATTTTGATATATATGCAATTTTAATTATATTATAAATAAGTTATTTAATATAAACCAAGGTGTGCCGCTTCTAATTGTTAATTTATTTATTTGTTATTATAAATTAATCACTTGACATTAGTTTTATTTTTTTCTACTTAACATCAACTAGTAAAGGAGCCATTTATGATCTTGTTAGTTTAATCTTAAAAAAAACCTATTTATATAATTACTAGCAGAACCCGCGGCTTCGCTCGCGCTAAAACTTAAAAAAAAACTCTAAAAAGATAGGTTTCATACAAACTTTTATTCCCTATTTTACCCCCCTACATGATGAATTTCGAAAAATGCTAAAACACCTATTTTATTAATTTTATTGAAGAGCTTTAATTTAATACCAAGTTTCAAGTAATTCTTCTGATCATATTTTTTTTTTGGATTTTATTAAAATGGGTTTTCTCTAGGGAATTAGATAATCTCCAGCGGTAAAAAGCCTATGTCACTCTCCAGCCCTCCAACCTCCAACCTCCAGTTTGTCCTTATTTCACGTCGAAACGTAATGACGGATTGACGTGATCTTTTGTGTGGAAATAGTTGGAGTGCTGGAGTGTGACATAGGCTACTCTTTACCGCGGGGGTTTACCTAATTCCCACGGGAAAACACTTTATAAAACAATCCAAAAAAAATTTTTTTATCAGAATTACTTGAAATTTAGTATTAATATTAGCTTTTCAATAAAATTAAATAAATACGTGTTTTAGAAATTTCGAAATTCATCCTATAAGGGGGTAAAGTAGAGGATGAAAGTTTGTATGAAACTACCTTTTTAGAGTTTTTTTCGTAGTTGAAGCGCAAGCGAAGCCGTGGGTTCTGCTAGTACTAATATATATTCTCTCTATTCCATACTAACCGTTGAAACGTACCGTTAAATAAAATACAAAAAGAATAAATCGAATGAAAAATAGCATTCACTTCATAGTAACAATTACGTAGGTATGCTGGGTCTAGTTTGCTCTATTTTTTGTCGATCAGTTAAGAGTGCTTTGGTTCAGGCTAAATTGGATATATGTATGTGGTTATAAAATACTTTGCAATAAAATTAATTCGTGTGTCACTAATTAAATACAGGAGAGGTTTATATTATCAAAATATTTAATACACCTTTAGATTAATCTATGTAATTAGTAGTTTTAAACAATTTGTACAGATTAATCTGTCCTGGGATTGGTTAAAAATTACTGATTTCTTAGATTGGTTATAAATATGAATTTAATATAAAAAGCCCTTTGGACAAGTTTACTTGGTGAAGTATGTAGTTTGGACTAAAGTGTCGGAATAAATTGATAGTGGATTTAGGTTGTAGTTATACATAATTTTCATGTGCCACTCAATGTGAGTATAATATATTGTTTAAATGTTCCATAATTTATAGGTACCTACGCAAAAACACACAAAATTACTTACGATCACTACGTACGTAGATGATATTGTAGAGAAGTCAAATATTATATTACATATAAATTATTGAAAATACTGTTTTTATACTATGTGCAATAAATACAAATGATTGTAGACATACTGGTACATAAAAACATATTTATTTTAATTTTTGGTTCCCGACGTTTCGAATGTTTTACAGCAATCGTGGTCACGGGAGAGACTAAGGTTTTAGACGTCTCAAAAGTCATACTAAATAATAGTTTTTACAGATAGTACCTACCCACAAAATTATAACCAAACTGAAACGTCGGGAACCAAAGATAAAAATAAATCCGAGAAAAAATGCGAAAAGGCAGTTTTGTTTGAAAATGTCAAAAATTGCGTAAATCTAAGAATGTATCATAATATTATGTATGTACTGTTTTACTTATCACGCAAAAGCTACTGAATAGATTTTGATCAAATACTTCCTATGATATACCCTATTTTTCGCCCTCGAAATAAAAATGTTTCCTACTGTATAAACTATAGGAGATTAAACCTTAAAGAAAATTTAATATTATGTATAAATTACAAAATGAGTTTTGATTTAAAATGGCATTGCATTAAAAATGAATCCATCAACATTCAGATATTGTAAGGAATCCCGCTGAAACGGAGATGTTTATAAAATATATATAATTTGTTTACAAATTTAGCAGAGTTCACTTCTGGCTTTTAGTTTTGACTATATTCATGTTTACTCATATAAATAATTACTAGCATCAATTTAGCTGATTCTATATGGAATTTAGTGCATAATAAGGATTTAATTAAATCAATTAGCCAGAACAATTCCCAACTAATTTATACAATCAATTAAAGGTTTAATAAATATATATTATTATTGTATATAGGTAATATATTAGTTTATTTTTATTATAAAATATCTTTTGTTTTCACACTGTAGTATTAAAAATTACTGACAATAAAACTGCTGAAACCCCAGCAGAGTGAAAGCTGGTGGAGGCATACATAACTTTTTCTTTCAGCTTTTTTGAAGTCATACTTCTTTTGGCACGTTTGGAAAAAAATATGAGAGTATAATTTTTACGATGCGCGCGCACACCGACAGCCAAAATACGACATGATAAAGTTAGCTGCATTCCTTTTAAGAACAGAGAGCTGTGACATACGGGATGAAATCTTTAGCTATTTTTGTTCTGTTACGCCAAAGAAGTATAACTTCTTACGTGCGTACATAAGTACATACTTCATGCACACGTTTTTTTATGTATAAGTTCATTTCTATAATTCTTAATCAAATAGGTAATTGAAATTATTACTGATAATGACTAGATTTAATTTCTATTTATAAATTATAATAAAAGTACACCGATTTCATAATTATTATTGGAATTTTTTTTATTTATATTGGGCCTCGTTGAGATAAATGCTATTCATAAAAAAAAGAATTATGATAATCGATTCACGATTTGCCAAAATGTCGCGTCACGTACAAAAGAAAAAATAAAAAATAAATCGAATTGAGTAATTGCTTCTTTTAAATCGATGAAAAAGAAATATATTTTTTTTATGAAAAAGTAATTTATTATCTTCAATTATTTTGAATATTAAGTATTGTAAAGTATCTGCATTTTAAATTGATGGGTTCAAATTACACCTATCTATGTATTTTATATGTAAATTTTTCAAACATCCATGTTTGAAAATTTACATATTATAATAAATAAAACAGAATATTTAAACAAATTTATCAATTTTGGAATTGTTTTCAAATTACTTTAGTTTTGTTAATATAATGAAAATGTAGATATTTTTTATGTACGTTATACCTACTCTATATTCAAAATACTATATTTTGTTCGAGAGTTTCGACTAACTTATTAATTTTTTTTTACCTCTCCATTATCATCATTCTATTTGTATTTACAAAATCAGTGTCACTAATTTAATGCAATATTTCTTTCATTTTATATCATATTATTTAACTTGTACCTTAATGTTATAGTAAAATACATCTTAAGATATTTTTACGATGAACATATTAAATAATATGGCAAATAGTCTAAATTTAAATAAATGGATATGTACAAATTGTCTTAACGTTTTAACAAAAAACTTCTCTTTATCTTGATCATGATATTCATTTAAAACTTTAAGAAACATGGCTAATATATTCAAAAATCACATCGCGGTATACGCAAGTATCCTACAAAGTATGGCATTTATGTCTTCTGTCGATGAAGTGGAAAAGAGGAGATCTTCTAAAAGGCCGTAATTAGCGACACAGCATACACTGGGTATAATCAACATGAGTCTCGCAAACCTCGACTCCTTGCCCGTGCAGTGCCTTTGTAATTGTATCAGTGTCTTCTCTTGGGTTATCTCCATTTGTGTTGTTATATCTAGTGAATCTGTTGGTAGAAAATCATACGTTACCATTCATATTTTATAATAAAAATATAATAATCATTATGATTTTTATGTAAAATATCTTAAGAAATAATTAATATATAAAGTAACTAAAACTATTTTGAAAAATATGCATAGAATATTTTACTATTAGCCATTAAAGTCTAAAGTGTTCTACTGTGTATAGTAGAACACTTTTGGACTCGACTGATTTTTTAAAAGGGGCAGTCCGAATTAAAGATCCTCCTTTTCATATCAGTGTTCAGAAAGACCACATCCTGCTCTGGCCCGATCGGCTAGTTAGTGGGTAATGATTTCATATGAAAAGGTCCGAGTTCATACGATCGTTAGAATAAGTTAAAAATATATAGAGAAATAAAAGTATTTTAAAAATTGTGTTAAATGTACAGAAATAATATTTATTAGTATTTTTTATGTAAAAGAAAATATAAATATTATTTCAAATGATTTTTAAGGTCCTTATTAAGTTAACAAAATGTTAAGTACAGCGTTTGATGTCTATATAGATTGTTATTTGTGGTACCTATCTGGTACAGGGTAAATTATTTAAATAAAGTTATTTTATATAAAATTATATAATTACAGTTATATGTCTAATTTCCAATTCCAATCCATTTTTTTTATATAAGAAATATTAGATTACCTGCCCGAAATAATAGTGACGTTTTTAGACATTCGAATTCTGTTTTATCTAATCTACATTGCCCAATCCTCTTTAGTAGAGCTGTCAATTTTCTGAGTTCCTCTTTGATATTGGGCCGCTTTGACATGATTACTGAAGATACGTAACCTGTAAAAATAATAAAAAATGATATGTAATAAGATTATGTGTAGACGTGTATAAATTATTTAAATTACATTTAAAATAGCAAATTCGAGTTTAACGAGAGCACAGTATGAACGCCTTATAAAACTAAATTTTTTTTTTTATCGTATTTCATTGTTTCAGTTTTACCTTCATCGAAAAAGAATGAATATTGAGCTGCATGCATAATAAATAGCTCTTTCCAATTGCTCTGAAGTAAACTTGTTTGTTCACTTTGGGTGATCTGTTCAAACGAAGCTACACTATGTAGCCACTTTACGGTGGCAACCAACAATTTTGCCGCCGGATCGTACAGTTCTATGTCCAACACTAATGGGTTATGAAACTTTATTTTACACGTAGTACCTTCATCGATACTATGTGATGTCGTTTCAGGTTGACATTTTTGATTTTTCATAGACTCCACAATAATTCTGTCGTTACTGTCGACATTTATAATACTACAACGTTTATCTAAATTTCTTGCTACATAATGTGCTGGAGGTTCAAAGCTACTTGGCGAGTGTTGTTGGATAGTTTCTGCGAAATAAAAGTTTCGTTAAATACTATAGGTATGCGTATAAATATTACAGACGATGACGTCATTTATTGTTAGTAGATATTAGATTTCGCATAGTAAAAATAAATCATCATAAACAATATACATATTCGCAACACTAGCAGTTAAGCAAAAAAATTCGCATTTTGCGTAAAAACATCAGTAGATCATTCTTATAACTAGCGCCATTTTCTTATCCAATTCAAATGTTTACCACGTGACTACTTTTACGCAATTAAACACTTACTACTTTCTACATTCATATCTGTTTTGCATGCTTCTTCAGAACTGGAAACTTCATCTTCTTTTATTTTATCGCAAAACTGTGAATCTGGCTTCTCTGTGGAATCTTTATTATATGAAGCGTTGTATTTAGGTGAATTTAAATTGCTGGAATATGCATCTAAAACGACAATATAGTTTTAGTTATAGAAACGAAATAAATATAATAACGAAATATATTGTTAACGAAAATATATTGTAACGAAATATGATGTTAAATGCAAATTAATAATTTTATAATACACTGTGCCGTGTCATATAACAAAAATATTTAATCGATGCAGTGACTCGATTGATATTTTCAATTATTCATAATAATTATTAATCATTCTTCTATTTCGGTATATAAAAAGAATGTTTTGTATAAACTTTTGCAAATAGCAAATAAACAAAAAAACGTAATTTTTTTTTCCTCTTAAATATACTATTTCTGAAGCATGTCGTGTTTACATTTATATATATTTACAATTTACCGACGTTATCTATGATATATACAATTGTATTTATTAATTGTAAAACTGCTGGCAGGTGTTAAATAAATAAAATAGAATAAAATAAAATATTCAAAAATAGAGTAAATAGTACATATAACAATATTTACTTTGAATATCCGTGTACAGCGTTGGATTATTATCGGACGATATCAAGGGCGGATAGAAAATATTCGTATTTAAATATCCTGAATGAGATACAGGATAGTGCACTGGTGCTGGGAAAAGTGGAATTTTAAATGGATTTAGGGGATGCAATGGGTTTGGATTATTGAAAAGGGGACCCAGGTTAGCAATATCCATTGACAAAGGCTCCGGAACTCTTGGAAAATTTTGAAATGCCGGAATTTCTAGAAAATTATGAGATTGTTCAGGCAGTGTGTTGTATTGGTAATGTGGAAGAGTGGACATTCCTACAGGAGCAGGAGATGGGAAAAAAGAGTTTTGTCGTGCTAAACTGTAGCTTAGTTTTTGTAACGCGAGTTGGTGCTGACTCGTTATTTGTCTTGGAGCGCGCTCATGTTGCACCGCTGAAACAAAAGTTTATATTTATTGTTAAACAAACAAAAATAACTATATATTAGTATTTCGTACATAAACAACACACTTCGTACATAAAGAACACACAAATCTAAAATATAATATTTAACATGAAAATTCGTTTATAAATTAGCTTACTAATAGTATTAATAAAGCTACTTTCCGAAATTACGTGTAACATATTTTGCAGGAAGGGTATTTTATCATACGCAAATAATAACAACCGAATATTAGGTACATTTATTACAAAATATAAATACAACCTTAGTATTGTTACCTATATAATTATTTTAACTTATTCGTTGGGATCTGGTAAATATTTCTGGGATAAATCTTACGGCTAAAATATTACAAGTGGGTAAATAATGGGGACAAGTAGGAGTTGACATGACGGGGTTGCGTTCTGTGATTATGTGCAAAAATAAACATTCTGAAGATGCTTCTGTAGAAGACGTTTTCTTGTATAAATAATAATGGAGTAACAGTAGGTGTTAAGATTATTTTGTTGTTTTATGTTGTCCCGGCATTGTTAATTTTAATAATAAGGATAATATTTATTTTATGATTGTATTTTCATGATAAATAGGGGTTTTTTATAGTATATTTTCCATAATACAGTTTCCGTTATTTATTAATGTGATGTTACAAAAATATATAAAACACCTAATATAAATATTTCTAATTTATATTATTATAAAATTTCATTTTCTCCTCATATGATCGTGGTTCAAGTCACACTAAAAATGCAAAGCGTTGACTCCTTCCATGTACATATTATCACTTTAAACTGACAATATGACAGACATGATAAAGTTTCATTTTGATAGCAGATAGGAGGATGATATTGATATCTTTATAAAACTTAATGGATATTGAACATAATTTTATGTACATATAGTCGAGTTCGCCTGCGTGTGAACCACGGGCTGCGGTGTGATCTAAACACCCACTCCCCTCGACTTTTTTCTCACTCCCTGACACTTGTGTACCGCAAATACTTCAAATGTCTCCTAATGGAAAAGACATGCTGCATGAAGGAAGCCTGAATAAATACTTTATCGAGACAAGTGCCCATTTGTTCCCGCTCAATTTGGCACAAATTTTAGCGATCACGGTTCCTTATGCTTTTAATAGTATTATGTAATCTTACCCATATGATGTAGGTAAATTAAAATAAATAAATTTTGATTTGATTTTTTATTGCAGTCAAAACAATTTGTTTGTAAATATAATATACAGTAAAGTAACTAAATACCTGCAAAATATTTTTCAAAAGCAAACATTTTCAAAAACAAATTAATCTAAGTCATTTCAGTTATTAGGTTATTTTAAATTACTTTTTGCCTGTGGCTTTGTACGCGCGTTTTACTTTTTAGTTCTCAGTTGCCAGATATTTGCCAGATAAAGTGAACTCAAAGTGTTTAGTGTCAAGTTATGCTAAAAGTCAAATCAAGTAGACAATAAAATTGAAATTATAGCAGAAATGCTGAATTTTTATGCAACTTTGTTTGGATTATTCTGATACTAAATTGGATAACTCTACTTTGAGGGCGTTTGAGGAAATTTTATTTTTACCACAAATAAAAAGATTCGAGTTTTATGTATAATTTTATGTTCTGTGACACGAAATATTTAGCTTTCTTACGAAATTTTGTATTTCAAAGGGCCTTAGATTATAATTTCCAAAGAAATGTGATAAGAGACAATAGCAATCAAATTGTGAACTCTGGTAGTTAGTACGTACCGTCTTTTTTCATGTTGACGCGAAGACACTTTGAAAATCGGCAAGCCTGACATTGATTCCGCCGGCTGACATCTACCACACATCTTCCATTTTCCTTACATACATAGTCTAAATTCCTGTAGATAAACAGAATAATAAAAGGATATAGATTTGAAAATAACTTGGTGCAGTTTAAATTTTTATATACAGAAATACTACCTTGTAATAGGAGCAAATAGAGATGGAATAATACCATAGGTACTAGTGAAGATTCTATCCCTATATTGGGTGACGCTAATTTGAGCCTTTCGTCCGACATTTTCATTTTTTTAGAGTGGACGATAGATGTCACTTGGATGCTAAACTAATTTATTTTAAAAATATGTTTCTTAAATTGTGTAAAATATAGCTAAATCCAAAAACAAAACAAATTCGATCCCCATACTTAGCCGTTTGTTACTCGAAAAAATAACTTATGAAATATAAACATCGCCAATCTGGGAAAATTCCCGCAGTATAAGAGACAATTATTGTTACGACAGTTTTGCTACTATTAAAATATCAATTCTCAAATTAAATCATCTAAAAATTCTATTAAAATTAAAAAAAAATTAATTAATATTGTAAGAAGCGAAAAATATTAGCGATATTGAAATGTTTATGTATTATATCAGTGAAAATAAAAATTTAAATTATCTAAGTTTGATTTATATTACATTTTATTTGTATTTAATATCAAAGTGCCTACTGATGCGAAATATTCCAAAACTTTAGATATCTAAGCTCTGTAAAAAGCATCCATCTTTGAAACTTAAAATGGCAGGGATTTTTTTTTATTTGCATTTCCTTGAATGTATTATACAATTTAATATGTGATATCGTAAAATTCTATGAATTTTTATATATCAAATATACGTTTTGCAAAATTGTACCTTCATGTATAAAATTAATAGCAATAAATATGTAGGTACATAACATTAATTGAATTTTGACATAGAATTAGTTGGAAATTTGCAGTGAATTAATAGTTCTGATTTATTCTTATTGAGCTTTATTATAATATAATATTTATAATACCTACTAGCATTGACCGCGGCTCCGCCCGCGTTCAGATGACCAAAACTCTTCTTCTTCTTAGGTTTTACATATTAGTATACTCTTACGCAGTTTTGTATTTTTTCTCAGAAATGAGACATTTTCCCGCGGTAAAAAGTATCCTATACGTTGACCCGGATAACCAGATATCACCATACCAAATTTCATCAAAATCCCTCCAGTGGTTTTTCTGTGATGAGGTAACAGACAAACAGACAGACAGACAGACAGACAAAAATTCTAAAAACTATAGATTCCGCCTCTGTATCAATAATAATGATTATTTCAATAAGATTTTCCACAAAATATTTAATGTACAAATTCGGCTTAGTTACAATTTTATTATATGTATACATTATTCTTGAACGTTTCAGTTATTTTGCCCAATTCATACTAATATTTTAAATGTGAAAGTGTGTTTGTTTGTTTGTTTGTTTGTTTGTTTGTTTGTTTGTTTGTCCTTCTTTCACGTCGAAGCGGAGTGACGGATTGGCGTGATTTTTTGTGTGGAGATAATTAAAGGACTGGAAAGTGACATAGGGTACTTTTTACCGCGGGAGATTATCTAATTCCTACGGGAAAACACGTTATAATACGATCCAAAAATATATTTATTATTAGAATTTCTTGAAACTTCTTATTAATGCTCTTCAATAAAAAGTTAAATCGTATAAGGGGGTAAAATAGGGGATGAAAGTTTGTATGAAACTATGTATTTCTTTAGAGACTTTTTTGTAGTTTTAGCGCAAACGAAGCCGCAGGTTCTGCAAGTATTTAAATTAATTGATTAATTTAAATACTAGCAGAAACTTAAACTTAAAGTTAACTTACTAAATATGACAAAAACTATAAAAAATAGCTAATCTTGAAAAAGTATTTCAATAGCATTATTTTATTTATTATAAATGTTATTTTAATGAATATTTATTTTTGTATTATTTAGATATTTGTCAATAGATATCGCCATGTGTCTTTAAAATACGTAGTTTTAATTTCAAAAAATTCAACGTACAAATTAGACGTTTCTATGATTTTATTAGAATTACTACTAAATTACTCGCGGCCCACCCGTGTCCAAATTATCAAAAAGCAATCTTTTTGTTACATCTACAGATACATTAAAATTTAACTAAGCCGTATCTGTGCTTTAATATTTTTTGGAAAATCTTATAGAAATACATATTATTATCGCTAACAGAGGCCGAACCTATAGTTTTAAGAATTTTTGTCTGTCTGTCTGTGACCGCATCACAGAAAAATTACTGGAGGGATTAAAGAAATTTGGTATGGTAATAGCTGGTTATCCGGGTCAACTAATATACTAATACGCGTATACTAATATGTAAAACCTAAGAATTTGGTTTTGCACATATGAACGCGGGCGGAGCCGCGGGCAATGCTAGTATATATATATATATATATATATATATATAAATGTAGAATATCAAACAAACAGTAACTCTTTGTCACTCATGTTCGCCACTATAGCGAACTGCGCAGGAGATATTGTGATGAACAAGTGTACGCGCACACACAAATGCACTCTCTATTCCTGTCACTCTCAAACTCCGGTGGGACGACTGCCCGATATGACCGGTGACAGTTAAGGCGCAGGACCGACGGCTTTACGTGCTCTCCGAGGCCAGGTGAAACACCGCCAACTTCCCAACTCCGGGCTGTTACTGAGGCTTACTATATAGAAAGACTCAATAACTAAACTTGGCCCGACTCGGGACTCGAACCCAGAACCTCCGTGTATGCAGCCGTACATGCTAGCCACTACACCACCGAGGCAGTTAAATATATAAGTATATACTTATACTAAGTAGGTAATATAATATCAGTTTTGTGATCGGACAAATACCACCATACCACCGTACCTTGGTCACGCCAAGATAGTGAGCGTATCCAAGTCCGAAGCAATTATAGCGAGTGCTAAAGTTCCCTAATATAGATAAAAAATATACATATAATACATATGCCGAATGTTTCAAATTTATATTCATCTTCTATCCAAAATTCTTTAAAGATCGATAAATAATAACTTGCTGTACTTAATACTTAAAAATATGATAAATACTTTTTAGACATATTATATTATTTATCATGCTATGAATGAGCAGTCAATAAGTTACCGCCGGATGCTTCGCTTGAAAAATCCTCTGCATCCGTCGCACGAGGGCACTCCGTAGTGTTTGCCCGACGCCTTGTCGCCGCATACTCGACATAACGCTTCGGGTTTGCCTTCCATCTCCTACAATAAAAGTAAATATTGAAATATTGAGACATATTAAAATTCAACGTATTACTTATACCTTTTTTGATTTGAATATTAAATCACGTATAAATAGATTTTTACAGTAAAATATTAATTTTCAAATTGATAAGTGTCTATTGTAAAAATCTTTATTAATTATCTTCTTTTATAAAAAGGTCTAGTAAAATTTCAAGGGTCCAAGTAATGGGTATTGTAATTTTAAGAGCGTACACCGTCTGTTGTGTCGTTGAAGGGTAAAATAAAAGTATAGGTTATTCAAGCCAAAATAGAGTTATGGTCTTAAAAAATAATATACAGTGAAAGCTCCTTATTCGCGGGGTATACGAACACGTGACTATAGGATGGTAGTTTGTATGGAAATGTAGGGATTGCGTTCCTAGGTAATAAAATCAGTTTAATAACAAATAACAGTTCATTACAGTGCTATCAAAAGGTTTTATCATTAATAATTATTGTTTGAACTATTTCGTTTGAAATATGTATACTTTCTATACATATAGCAAAACTATTGTAACTAAGGCGAATCTGTACATTAAATATTTTTTGGAATATCTTATTGAAATATACATTATTATCGATAGAGAGACTCTTTGTCTGTCTGTCTGTTACTGCTTCACACAAAAACAAATGGAGGGATTTTGATGAAATTTGGTATAATAATAGCTGGTTATCCGGGTCAACATATAGGATAGGTACTTCTTACTGCGGGAAAATAGCTCATCTCGGAGAAATCTATACTAAATTTTAAAACGTAAGTAGTGACGAACCCGAGCAGAGTGAGGGTGAGTCGCTTCTCGCTAGTAATTTTATAAACGTGAAAGTTTGTTTGTATAGATATATGGATGTTTGTTACTTTTTCACGCAAGAACGGCAGAACGGATCTGGATGAAATTTGACAGAGAGCATTAGAGCATAGATTAGATTATAGTCTGGAATAACACATAGGCTACTTTTTATCCCGGAAAAAATGTACAGTTCCCGTAGGATAGGTTTGTTCTTGTTTTCCTAGAGGTGAACCCGAGCAAAGCGTGGGTGAGCCGCTAGTTTAGTATTTTTTTCTTGGTTCCTTTACAAAGGTCTTCTTGTTCCGCTTGATATACAAGCTGAAGCTTCATCAATTTTCCTTTTAAAAACAATGTATATATATATATTCTTTTTTTATGTTTTTGCTCTATCGTACAAACGTAATACATATACAGAAATATCAGTAATATAACAAACGTAAGAACGCACAGACAATCATAAGACACATCAAATGGCAGTACAGGAACCTTTTGCAACCTTGTGCACTTGAGTTCTATGTATATTTTATAGAGAAATATATTTTATACAATTCACGTTTTTACTAAGCACAGGTGGGTCGTTTTATTGTATTTACCCAAACGAACTTATACAAGCTAGAAGTATTTTTAAAAATATGTGCATATGAAACGTTTTTTACACAATGGCCCAATCAATTTCTCGTCAGAGGCCCGCTGAATTTGCAAGTTTGAAAGAATTTTGTCGCATCATCGGATTTGCTGTATTAATAATAGATTGATAATGCAAAAGGGATCGAATGGCATACGGTGAATTTTAATAAAATAACTTTGATGCAAAATAGCCTTTTGATACGCACGCATTAGTTATGCTCATTTTAAATTCAAATAACACTATTGATTTGTGATAGAAAATGGAACACGCTGATATAAATTTTTTTCTATTAAATTATACACTGAAAAATGACATCGTCAAGCCTTCAGCTAAATTTTCGGTATCGCTCAATCGGGTAGCCAATGGGCATTGTTATGTAATTCCCTTTGAGTAAATTATACAGCGATTGTCATATAATTTACTTGGCTGTTGTACTTAACTATGATTACTTGAAAAGTAAAATCGTTATAGATCCTTTTACAAAAGCATAAGGCCTAATGCCTTGACATGTGCGTTGTCTCCCACGAGCTTTGGAGGGAGTTGGCTTACGGAAAGCTGTTATAGAGGCATTATTATGACTGTAAAGCGAAATGTGAGGCTTATGTGATGATTTATTGTACATATAGGTAGGTATTACGCCCAGAGAATGCTTAGGTTCTTTGAATATCTATTATAGTATCATATTAAGTTTGTTGTACACCGTAGCGGTATTTGTTATTCGACACTAAATAGACGTAGACACATTGCATCTACGTTAAATATGTCTACGCTGTAAAAAAATAACTAATATATAATTTAAGCAAAACATTTTACTGCTTCATTTATATATTTTTGAGAAAAAAATAAATTTCATCAGCAAAATGAACTAGAAATGTTAATTTATGTTTTTTTAATCTCTATTGATCCAATCAAGTTGCCCCCACAGGTGTTCCAAAAGTCAAACTGTAATGACCGGCGCGTGCCGCACGATTCCTTGTTCACTACTAACCCCTTAATATCCACCGATATATCTATACCAGTTTAATGTCCGCAAAACGTCGACATGTTTTGTAATTGTGGCGTGACGTTATGACAGCGGGTTACAATTATACCGTATGGCGAAAATTACGGGCCCTCCATTCAATAATTCTCAATCAATAGGTAATAAACACGTATTTTACATCACTATTTAATAAGTTTCTATTTTCCTAGCTAGAAACATAAATGCGAGAATTTTAAATAAAAGCATAATTACATAAAACAACTTCTGCCTTCGTTTCTACGAATCTGTTTATTCACTTTTATTAAATTAATAAAATTGGTGGAATAAAGTCGAGTATCAGCGTCTACTAACTACTTCATAACTTCATAACGAACTGTATATTTTAATAAATCGAACTTGATCAATTTTAGTGCTTTTAAAAAGAAAGAAATTTTTTATCCTTAAAAGAAAGAAACTTACGAGTACAATACCATGCCAAATAATATAATAATTTCATATTAATAGTTAGTCGTACACATTTATCTTACTTAATTAATCTTCTAATTTCTACATTTAAATTAGTAAACGTATCTAAAGTATGTACATATGTGAATTAATAACCAACGTACTTAACTCTGTCTGTACATATAAGCAGTGCTAAATCTCTCTCTGTCTGTCTATCTGTTCGAAACTCAAAAACTACTACACTGATTTTCATGCTATTTTCACCAATGGATAGAGTGGTTCTCGAAGATAATTTTAGTATATAATTTTTTGAGATTTTGTATTCCGTGACTAAAGTATAAATATATTTGTTGGAGGTGTCGGAAAAAAATAAGCCGCCTGGGAGCTTTCAACGAAAACCCTGCCTAAACCGTTTGAGATATAACAAAATGATATATGGTGGAATAGTGTATGATAAATAGGTCTATAGAAAAGTCCACGATGGCATATATCTACCTCTTAAGGATAACATACTATATCCTAACTATATCCATTATAATACCTAGGGACGAACCCGAGCAAAGCGAGGGTGAGTCGCTAGTAATAATTATATATTGGACGCAAACGATTTATAAACAGTGGTTCTTGTAAAATAACAGAAGCTAGAACTTGTCATACAACTGTATCATTAGGAGCTATTATATTTTGGCTTCCCGGTTTTGCCCATGAGTACCTCAGATAGGGCGCGTTGACATTTGAACCCCATATTAAGCGTGTAGCACAAGTATAAACAAATTGAGCTCATTAATTGTAAAAAAAATTTTTTTGAAACATTAGCTGTATGTTCTGTATTTGTAAGCTAAAAGTTTATAAGTCTTGGAACTTGAAAGTAATAAAATGCAAGAAAAGAAGGACTTAGTTTTACATTGAGTTTAAAATTCGTAATCAATAAAATATTTTTTAAGAGATAAATTAATCCGAGTTAATAGTCCGACCGAAACCGATTTTCGGCAACGGTCTCAGTTTCGGCCGGAACCGAAACTTTCTTACAATAATCATGTATTGAGAATAATCAGTCAGTCTTTATTTTTTTATTTTTAAAATTTAAATCCCATATCTTCGATATTTTCACTTATTGATAATCAACATAACTACCCCTCATTTAAGAAAAAAATGTTGCGCCTTAAAAGTTCTTAAATCTCACCTGGTGTTTATTTGAGTAGGTAGATTCTTCTTCTGAATATTATTCATGGTTTTTTAGAAATATTTAATATAAAATTACTTCTTTAAGTTGTTACCTAATATCACAATAAACAAAACAAAATAAATCTCTTCTATCTTAAGAACCAATTAACTTCTTTAAAACTTCATTAGTGATTTTGTATGACTGAATTTTACAAAAAAATACAATTAGTTACTAGGTAGGTAAGTATCTAACTGTACTTGCCACTTGGATACCTTGGTAATAAAATAAATATTAAAATGAACTTTGAAACTCTAAATCCACAATATAATCACCACTATTGCACTATAGTAAGTACTAAGTACATTAATATTTGTTTAGGTATAGCATTAGCGAGGAGTTAAATTAACCAAAAAAATATTTAGATAGAGAAACTTGGTTCTACTATAATCTATGTATAAGTTTGTTATATTGAATTATTTTTTGTTTTTACTACCTAATCTTATGCTATATCACGTGATAAAACTTACCGAATTCAAAATAAATCAAACGAAAACTTACAATAAACAAAACGAACTGCAAACACAATAAACAAGCCAGTCACGACATGATTAGGCACGTAGACGCGACAAAATGTCTTCGTCGCTTATATGGAAAACAACGTGCCGAACATGACCGATCACAGCGAGATAACTCCTGAATGCAAATTATATTACGGTCGTAGTTTCGGCAGGTTGGCCGCCGAAACCGAAACTAAACCGAAACCCATTTTTTTGCCAACACCTGACTGAAACTGAAACCGAACTTTCGGTCGGACACTAAAATTAATATTAAAAAATAAAATAAAAATATCCAAAACCAATCACTTAAAATTAAGTTATAAAATTTAAATTATTTTTGTCTCTCGCATCGGCAATCTGATTTTGTACTGTCTAATTTGTATACTTAGGGTTCCTCCGACGCATTAAAAGG